TTTCATTCATAGATATTTTTGGCCCAAACTCCTGCTACATGGGTATTATAATGGCGGCAATCTTAATAAAAAAGATATTGACATAACAAGCTAACGTCTGTCAGAGCTCGAATGTTTCTGTTGAGTCACTTCAGCAAATTTGTTTATTGCTTCAAAATGAGCGCGTGTGCCAGTAACAGCAACAAATTCTTACCTCAACAACGGGTGGGGGAAACGCCAGTTTGTCCAAGGAGAAACGGTGAAGGGAACAAAGGCGACACAAATTGCTGTTTTATAGGATAAATCTTTTTATCAACCATTTTCTCATCAAATTAAACTGTCGAAAACTTACCAAGTATTGCGAATCTGCCGCCCACGCAATGGCAAAATAAAGAAACATTGCGTCAGTTTTGATTATTTCGAGAAAACGTTTCTTATGTGTTTGTGCCAACTACCGGAAACGCAAATACGGTCATATACCTAAGACTTCTCGTTCCCAGGGCCCATCGTTTCTTTAGATCACGATCGCTTCAGATAAAAATATGTTTAGAAATGCTAAGCGGGATATAAAAAGATTAAGTACAGAGATGGTATCAGTAAAGCCCGAGAACCATTTTTAACTTAATGGGGAAGACTCTTAAACTTTATGGGATGAACAGAGGAGATGAAACTTAGTCTTTTATATTTTCATAGTATCCTCTCGATACACGGTTTATTCACGTTTCTGTGCCTACGTTTTCTTGTCCGCGCGTGGGAGAGATTTTAAGTTGTTGTCATTAGTACCAGTCAAGCGTATGTTTCGCAGTGATTGCACGACACCGTGTGATTTGTGTTATGAATAAATATCGTTTATTCCACTCTCTTGCAGATAACTGAATTAACAAGCGGTTATAACTGACAATAATACTACATTAAAGCTATGCATTAATTATACTACCTAAAAAACTACTTAAAAAGATAATCATGACGGATACTTAAGCGACGAATATTTAAAAGTAAAAAAGTTCTCTGATCTCTTAGTTCTCGTGAACTTATTGAATGGTCGAGAAGAACCAGGTCTAAGGTTATAAGGATCAGCTCTTTGTACAGCGGTGGACACCAAGAACGATAATGGGTGATCACGGGTGTCTGTCATCTCAGCCATAAATTTATGACATAAAGGCTCGCGTCTGTTGGAAAGTGTAGTTTCGTTGGCTAGCGACATTGCTTGACTGTACGAACTGTTAGCATATATGATTTTAAGGGCCCTGGCTTTTTTGCACGGACTCTATTCTATCTGACAGATAGTCAAGAATGTCCTACCACACCTGCACTGCATATTCTAAAATCGGTCTAACACTACTTCTAAAGACTTTCTACATGTTCTGTTCTTGCACGCCAGCTCGCTTTAATAGTCTGACAGCGTAAAGTTTTTTTGATGCCTTAGCGGTAATTTAGTCAAAATGGCAGTGTTGTCAGATTATGTTGATAAAAAAACAAACAAACAAACAAACAAACTACTAAATATTTATTAGTAGGAAAAAATAAACAAGTAATTTTCTGTCCTAGCTTCGTACGCAAAGCAAATAGTACCTGGTCGCATAGTTAAGGCTATTATTAAATGTGATAAAAAAAATTTACACCCAAAAACTAGCCTGAGTTCATTTTGGCCTTCCCATTAGAATGGGAGATTAAAGTGATAAGTCGTAACGTGTAAACTGTACGCCGCCGAGAAGTGTAGTCTTTTTTAAAACAGGCCTTCATAACATAAATTTATGTTTAGTTAGGCGACATTTCAACCTTAGAAAAGAAAGGGGTGTAGGTGGGTGATTGGGAGCTCAGAGCCGCTAAAAATGTTATGCAAATGAGCTGAGGGGTCATAGAATATCCCCTCACGACATTTGCATAAGTAACGTAATGCCGTGGTTTGACAGCTCTCGGCTCTTGAGGTGTTAACCGAACACCCTAGGACTTTCGTAAATCGCCCACGAAAGAGTAATTCAAGGTACAGTCAAACCTCTTTAAAGGGACAGGTTCACATGTATCTCAGCGATCTATGAGTGTATGTCAAAGTAGAATTGTATTTCAGGGTAACCTGAAGTAGGATGGAGGAGTACTAAAATCGCAGAAAAAATTAGTGGATTATGCCAACACTACCAACGTTGAATTTATTGTTGACCCGAAGGTTTTATTCTATGGTTGATTAATTTACAGCTATTTGCAAATATTTAAGTTGATCAAGTGCAAGTGACTGCCAGGGGAGTGTGCAGATTGGTTCTTTGGCAACAATATGACGTGATCATATTGCTTGCATAGACAATACAGCATGTCCCAGCAGAAAAACAGCATTTTGATAAATGAGCATGCGCTGAACCGTGAACCTGTCCCTTTAATACGGACACCAAAGGGACAGAACCAAGTGTCCTTTTTACAGAGGTGTCCGTCTTACAGAGGTAGGGAATGTATGATGTTTGGCATTTCTGGGACCGAACGAGCTGTCCGTAAAAGAGATGTGTCCGTAAGGAGAGGTCAGACTGTACTTTTAAGCGGAGCTCTCGCGCGCGGAGCGTGCCAGCGGAGCACCATGGGTAGGAAAATGAAGTAATCTACCCATCCGAGAAAATTTGGTAATCATGTGACCGTACACCGACCGCCCGCCCGCCCGCGAGACCGTCCGTCCGCACCACAGGTATTCCAATGTAAAATAACTCAATCAACAGGTATGGTAACTTAAATGCAACTCGAGGTTATTTTGGCGGGAAATTGCATAGCCACCGGCGTCTTGTAAAGCAGAGACAACAAAAGAGTCAATAAAGACGAAAACGGAAAGCGGAAATTGTTTCTGTATCCGTTTTGTCTAAAGTATGAAGCTTAGATAAATTGTCATGTCCACAAATTTGGAATATAGAGCAAGAGAAAGACAGAGAAAAAGAGAAAGTGGGCGGCAGGCCAGCGAAGCTCAACGAGAAAAAGGGCGACAGGGATTTAGAGCGAGAGATAAAAAACAAAGGAGACATTTTTTTGTTGGAAGAACAACATGAAAATTTTGTAGCGGCGGTGACAAAATGAGAAATGCTAGCGGCGACCAATGCAAGGTGAAAATGAGCGGCAGTGAAAAAAAGTGAACGGGAACACGTACGACATTTCCTCCATAAAACGTGTAACTAAGACGTTTCTGGAAGTTTCACGTTGTAGTCGTGCAAAACAACGGCAAAGAAATGTACAAAAAAAAGCGTGCTGCACGTGCAATGTTGCTTTTGCTAATTAGACCTATTGTTGTTTTTGACCGTTTTCTGGCGTTGCATGCCTTCACCGCTTAGCATTACACGATTTTATATTTTGTTTGAACAAACTATAAATATTATCGAGAGCTTCGCTTTTAGCCCTGGCTAAATCTTCTATATATTAAACTGAAATGAACGTGACCACAATTTCCTATTAAGGCAAGGTAACTATGAGTAATTTTTTTCTGCTCATTTACTGTCTCGGTTGCGCCCCCTTCAATCTCGCGCAGTCAAATGAGGGTTGTCCAATACACCCGCACTACATGACTGAGTCAAATAGTATGAAGTGGTAAACTCGGCAATAACTCAGTTTTGTGACGATAATAAAAATTGCAATAGACCATCCTCGCCGCTTCTTGAAAGACCGTAAAGAAGGTTTTCGGATTTTAAGACATCGAATTCCTTAAGACAGTAAACGTAGCAACTTATTTATACTCTACTTTTACTGACTTATATTAACAAATTCAACAAAAGCCTTAGCTAACAATAGGGCCATTTATACGAGGAAAAATAAGACGCGTCTAACATAAGACGCGAACTGTACCATTTATACGAGCATGTCTTATCGAAGACGAGAACAGCTCGTATAAATTGTTCGCGTCTTATTTCTGTTCTTGACTCGTTTTCATGTGAATGTTGCCCGTAGCTACGGCAATCCAACGTGGCGTGCCAAAAATTAACACATGCCTACTATGCGTTCGCGTCTTATATAAGACGCGAAGGTCATTTATAGGAGGTTTTTCTCGTCTTAGCTAAGACGCGTCTTATCTAAGAACAGGTGTTAAGGGCTGTTCTAAAATAAGACGCGTCTTAGCTAAGCCGCGTCTTATTCTAGTCGAAATGTGCCGTTTATACGGGAAGTTCGCGTCTTATTTAAGACGCGTCCTATGTAAGACGCGTCTTATTTTTCCTCGTATAAATGGCCCTAATAAATTGTGTGAGGGCATCAGACTATTATAAAGCCGACAGAAACAGACTCGTGCCAGATATAATTTTTCATTTGTTTGTAATTATTATATATAAAGCAAACGAAATAGACCTTACCATACAGTTGTATGTCACCATCGCAAATAAAATCGCCAAATTCAGAAGCCACTGGATCACTAACACAAAATGGTAGAGAAAATGTGGAAATAAACTGGGACGCCAACGATTGTTTTCTGTAAAATATCTGTTCGGAGAGGCAAATATTGCCTACAATTTTCTATTATTTGAGGAAGGCTAAAAATTCCTACATGACCGTTCCATTCATGTACAATTTCGAAGTTTATCTAATAAATTCCCCGCGATTGTCTGAAGTTCAATTTTTCAAATTGCACACCCCTTTAAATGTGATGGAGAGGAGGAATCAGAAAAAATCTAACATTCGTAATATGTCAAAATGCATCTAAAGTTTTCGAAAAAATAATACTGAAGCCCTTGTAGTTTCGAAACGACTCAAGTTCCTCTAGGATGACCGAACAGATACAAATTCTATAGCGCCGCTTAGAATGCATCTCTAGAGATCTAAAGTACTCAGGAGAGCTAAAAAAGGTGTTTCAATTTATTTAGGAGGAAACCGTCGTGGGTGCCCCTGAAAAAGGTTCCCTCCGACTTGCACAACAGCGGTAAACTGTTTAATTGCATGCTCACTCAACTACAGTTCACTCTTCCTACTACACGTATCACAAAATCACTCTTTTAGAATCACGTAATCAATTTAATAGAACGCGCTAATCGTGCAATATTCTTTGTAAAGCATGTTTCGACCCGCTCGGCATGGAGACCAAAACAATAACCGATGGCCAGATCACAGCGTCAACCGAGTACAACGCTGCACACGGCGCCACCAATGGTAGACTCAATTTCAAGCCTGGAGAACGAAAGACTGGTGCATGGTCCGCCCGTCAAAATGACGTTCATCAGTGGCTACAAGTGGATCTTCAAGGCAAAACCGAAGTGACAGGAATAAAGATCCAGGGAAGACAAGACGCCGATCAATGGGTTACAAGCTTTACTATTTCCTACAGCAGCGACGGCACCACCTATACACCTTATCAGAACAGCAAGGTATGGAAACCAATGAAAATCGTAGCAAGGGAAACTCAAGCAATTAACTAATCGAATCTCGACACGGTAACATGAAAATGTGTTAAAACCTCAGACCCGCATTAGCCTCCACAAGTCACTTACTAGTTTAACCTTAACACTTTATTTTCCCGTTGCAGGTCTTTAATGGAAACACGGACCGTAACACCGTGGTGTTGAACGTTTTACACCCTTCCATAAATGCACGCTACATACGGGTGCATCCTAAGACGTGGCAAGGCCATATTTCTATGAGGATGGAACTCTTGGGATGTCCGTCAGGTACCGACAATATTGTTCGTTTTCAAGAAAATGAACAAAAAGCAGGGGCATTCAACGAGTGTTTTGTGCAAAATATTTGTTCGGAGAGGCAAATATTGCCTACAATTTTCTATTACTTGAGGAAAGCTAAAAATTTCTAGATGACCGTTCCGTTGATGTACAATTTTCGAACCTTATCTAATAAATCCCTACGATTGTGTGAAGTTCAATTTTTCAAATTGCACTCCCCTTTAAATGTGATGGATGATGTTAAAATGCATCGAAAGTTTTCGGAAAAATAATGCTGAAGCCCTTGTAATTTCGAAACGATTCAAGTTCCTCTAGGATGACCGAACAGATACAAATTCTATAGCGCCGCTTAGAATGCATCTCTAGAGATCTAAAAGTACTCTGGAGAGCTAAAAAAGTGTTTCAATTTATTAAGGAGGAAACCGTCGTGGAAAGAAAAAGGTTCCTCCGACTTGCACAACAGTGGTAACCGACTGTTTACTCGCATGCTCACTCAACTGCAGTTCACTTTTCTTACTACATGTATCACAAAATCACAGGCCCAAAAAAGCTGTTTTAGAGTCACGTAATCAATTTAATAGAACGCACTAATCGTGCAATATTCTTTGTAAAGCATGTTTCAACCCGCTCGGGATGGAGACCAAGAAAATAACCGATGACCAGATCACAGCGTCAACCGAGTACAACGCTGCACACGGCGCCACCAATGGTAGACTCAATTTCAAGCCCGGAGGAGGTAAGACTGGCGCATGGTCCGCCCTTCAAAATGACGTTCATCAGTGGATACAGGTCGATCTTGAAGGCAAAACCGAAGTGTCAGGAATAAAAATCCAGGGACGACAAGACACCGATCAATGGGTTATGAGCTTTACTATTTCCTACAGCAGCGACGGCACCACCTATACACCTTATCAGAACAGCAAGGTATGGAAACCAATGAAGATTGTGGCAAGAGAAACTCGAGCAATTAACTAATCGAATCTCTTTCGACACCGTAACATGAAAATGTCTCAAAACCTCAGACCCGCATTAGCCTCCACAAGTCACTTACTAGTCTAACTTTAACACTTCATTTTCCTGCTGCAGGTCTTTAATGGAAACACGGACCGCAACACCGTTGTTTTGAACGTTTTGCACCTTTCAATAAATGCACGCTACATACGGGTGCATCCTAAGACGTGGCATAACCATATTTCTATGAGGATGGAACTCTTGGGATGTCCATCAGGTAATGACAATTCTTATTCGTCTTCTTGTTAATCAACAAACAGGTTCCCTCCTACTTGCAGAACAGCGGTAGACTATTTACTTGCATACTGACTAAACTGCAGTTCTCTCTTTCTAGGCCACTTCATGTATCACACAATCACAGGCCCAAATAAGCTGTTTTAGAATCTTGTAATCAGTTTGATAGAATAAGGCGTTACGCATTTGAAAAAATCATACTTGGGAAATACGTAGGCTGCGAAAATCAAAAGGGAACTACTTTTTACCAAATGCAATTTTACAAACAAGGCTTTAACGACAAACGAGTTTCTAAACGGACTTTGTTCCAAGTAGAACTCTTACAGCAATTTTTCATACTTTGTGCTGTGAATAAAGCACCACAGGCATATCAAAGTAGGGATCAAAATCGTTCCATATCCTTAAAGCACTTATCCGTCTTCCAAAAACTATAATTCAACTAGCCTGTGTACAGACGTCCCCTCTCCCTCAGGAAAAATCGGGAGATCCTCTCCCGATTTTTCCTGAGGGAGGGGGAACGTCTGTACACAGGCTATAATTCAATAAGAGTCTTCATTATTCATAGTTGGGTAGTCACAACATACGTGTGGCTTTACATACATGACAATGTAATCTATTTAAGATCAAGTACAATTAAATAAAATTAATAAAAGGTCTCTTAAAGCGTTCTGTTTTAACAGCAGGTAAAATGAAATCATGTCCTCTGTTTCGCAAAAATCTCTGTTTCTTAGGGGGTAATAGTTGTTAAAGGGGATGGGAAGGAGTATCCGTGATAGTGTTCCATAGCTTACAGTCTCGATTTCTGATAACTTCAGCTACTGCATACAGGTTATTGGTGTATCCGAATCCAATCGCTCGCTTAAAAAACTTGACAATGCGATCAAGGTAATCTACCTTGATATGCCGCTCCCCAAATCTCAATTCCGTACAAAAACAGGGACATAATTAAAAGATCAAATAATTTTGTCAGTTGTTCTTTAGGGTATCCAAAATATTTACAAACGCTTAAAATGTATAAACGACTACTAGCTTTGCGTAACAAATTGTCAACATGAAGGTCCCAGTCCGATGGATTCTCCTGGAAAATTATGCCAAGCAATTTCAATCAGCTTTTCCGTGCCATCCCCTGTACCAGAGGTGGCAGTGGTTTGGAAATTCTGCCATGCACCACCATCTCTCAGGCCTTAGTTTCATACGGTTTCTTACCGCCTAGTGTTGAATGCTGTTAACCTCAATGAAAGAGTGATCTTGATGTGCAGACACAGGTATGCTTAGTGTAAGATCGTCGGCATATTTGAGCAATAGATTGCGCTCCGGGTAAACCGGTCTTATGTCGTTTACCATAATAGAGAACAATATGGGCTCGAGGACAGTACCTTGCGGTACCCCTCTGTTAATGCTAGCAAATTCGGTGACAAAGCGGTCCACGACTGACTACTCTCTGTTTCCTATTACTAAGAAAGCTGACAATCCAATTGATAACATAGGGATTAATATTGAGTGACATTAGCTTATTGCAAACAATAGCATGTGGAACACTGTCAAAAACTTTACTGAAGTCAAAAGAGAAAACTCTTACAAAGTCTGTTGTCCTGTCCAACCATTTTAGCCAATGATGATGACAAGTAAGGAAGGCCAAGGTTGTATTGCATACTTCTTTGTAGGCAAACTGGTCTGGGCCAATAGCAGACTTCAATACAGGAGACAGCTCTTGCTTTACTACCACTCTTTCAAAGAGTCCCATAATAACGTTAGTTAAGGAAATTGGTCTCTGCTGATTGCATGTTTCAAAAGGAGTCTCTTTCGGAAGAGGTATAATATTAGCTAGCTTCCACAAGCAGGGGACCAAATGTTTCTTGAGAGAAGAGTTATTATAAATACTTTGGTGATTGTTGGCGCAAGTTGATAAGCGTAGTCCCTCCAGATCCAAAACGGAAGTTCATCTGGACCCGGAGCAGTACGCTTTAATGTTCTCAGAAACGTCCATACAGTGTGCACCTCAATTGTAGGAATACGAGTGCCATCCGGAATGGAAAGGACTTCGGGCGTGGAGTACTGATCGTCAGTGTTGATAGACTGGAAATATAAGTTAATTGTTTTCGGGTCAATGGTAGAGCTGACGTGTGCATTGCGAGCCTGTCTACCGGTGATCATATTGACAGTATCCCACCACCTCTTCAAACTGGTGTGATAACTTCTTCTTCTCTCATTAAAAGCACGGATTTGTTCAGCGCGAATGAGTTCGTTGATTCGCTCTTGCAGGACAGGGTTTTCAGACTGTCTGTGACTCCGTGAGATCTTGTAAACTAGCACTATAGTACTTTGAACTTATGTATTTTCTTTCCATAGCATGTTTCCATCCTCTTGGGATGGAGAGCAGAATAATAACTGATGGTCAGATCAAAGCGTCAACCGAGTACAACGCTGCACACGGCGCCACCAATGGCAGACTCAATTTCAAGCCCGGAGGAGGTAAGACTGGCGCATGGTCCGCCCTTCAAAATGACGTTCATCAGTGGCTACAAGTCGATCTTGAAGTCAAAACTGAAGTGTCAGGAATAAAAATCCAGGGACGACAAGACACCGATCAATGGGTTACGAACTTTACTATTTCCTACAGCAGCGACGGCACCACCTATACATCTTATCAGAATAGCAAGGTATGGAAACCAATGAAAATCGTAGCAAGAGAAACTAGAACAATTAACAAATTGAATCTCGACACGGTAACATGAAAATGTGTTAAAACCTCAGACCCGCATTAGCCTCCACAAGTCCCTTACTAGTCTAACCTTAACACTTTATTTTTCCGCTGCAGGTCTTTATGGGAAACACGGACCGCAACACCGTGATTTTGAACGTTTTGCACCCTTCCATAAATGCACGCTACATACGGGTGCATCCTAAGACGTGGCATAACCATATTTCTATGAGGATGGAACTCTTGGGATGTCCGTCAGGTACTGACAATATTGTTCGTCTTCTTGTTAATCAACAAACAGGTTCCCTCTTACTTGCAGAACAGCGGTAGACAATTTACTTGCATACTGACTAAACTGCAGTTCTCTCTTTCTAGGCCACTACATGTATCACACAATCACAGGCCCAAATAAGCTGTTTTAGAATCTTGTAATCAGTTTGATAGAATAAGGCGTTACGCATTTGAAAAAATCATACTTGGGAAATACGTAGGCTGCGAAAATCAAAAGGGAACTACTTTTTAACAAATGCAATTTTACAAACAACGCCTGAACGACACACGGGTTTCTAAACGGACTTTGTTCCAAGTAGAATTTTTACAGCAACTTTTCATACTTTGTGCTGTGAATAAAGCACCAAGGGCATATCAAAGTAGGGATCAAAATCGTTCCACGTCGCACTTATCCGTCTTCCAAAAACTATAATTCAACTAGCCTGTGTACAGACGTCCCCCTTCCCTCAGGAAAAATCGGGAGAGGAGACGTCTGTGAATCGCCGTCGTTAATCGTGTTCCGGTATACATTTGCATAAATTAGTTATTTGTTCTTTCGCTGACAGTTGAAAAGGCACATGTGGGTCGAAAAATAGCTCTGGCGTCTGTGCACAGGCTAGCCGAACATCTTCATGCAATGTCCACCCAAAAATCCAGATATAAGATCTCTGATTAGAGTCACGCCAGGTCAAGCGTACCTCCCAAGATCCCAATAATGTATTTATTATTCGAAGTTGAACCTTTGGTAGTTGTAGATTTCCGATTCATCTCTGTGTGCATTCTTGCATGCGTAATGAGCCGTGAATTCAATCGCGATTCAGTTACGAAATTTCTACTAGCTCAGTCAATCAATAAATCAATCAACAACTTTATTTAAGTGTCTAGTCTTCTAGCTTGCCGTCAGGCCTACTAATAGGGGACACTACTTAAATAACTTATTAATAAGAAATATATATACATAATACTATAAGCCAATAAGATTTAACTATTCTAAAAACTACTTAAAAGATACACGATATTCAATATGCTTCGAAAATACACCTATGTAATAAATAAGAAAAAACTATATATACAATTTCATAATATATCAACTCTACCAGTTATGATATTTCCTGTTTATGAATTATGAGTCACACAGGTGGCACCCTTTGCATGCGTTATCACTAACCAATTTGCTCAGATCTTTTCTCCTTATATTTGCTTTAAACCTGCTTAAGGAGGTCTCGTTTCTGTCCTTCATACTCAATTTTGACCATAAAAATGGCCCAAAAAATCTGAGGGAATGCTTTCCATATTTAACAGTTTTTACCCTTTGAACGTGAAAGTCCGAGTTCCTCAGGTTGTAGTTCGAAGGCGATGACGAGAAGAGTTCTAGTATGTTGTAAGGCAGTAATCTATTCCTTATTTTGAACATAAAGATAGCGATATCTTGTAATCTCATGTTATATAGATTAGTCATTCCAGCGTGTGTAAGAAGGTCACCATAAGGAGAGACTCGATCTTTGAAGACTGTACGTAGTCCTCTCTCATTAATTCTCTCTAGCTTGTTTCTGTCGCTTGCTCGACAAAAGTGCCACACCAAGCTACAGTATGTGAGATGGGGTAAAACTGCAGTTTTATATATCCGTAGTTTTGCGTTCATCGGGATCAGATTCTTTAGCCTTTGAAGAACACCAATCATTTTACTGGTTTTTATGCAGACCTCTGATATATGCTGCGAGAAATTCAAGTCCTTATCAATAATTATGCCTAGCAGTTTGAATGCATCGGTAAAGTTAATTCTGCAATCATCAATCACTAGCTCCATTTGTTGTGTGTCCCTTGCTATAGCCATTGCTTGGTATTTGCTATAATTGCCTTGCAGAAAATTTGTCCTATACCACCTCGATGTCTCTTCCCCATCTTCCTTAATTCTATCTATAGCTAAGTGCAGATTCAAATTGGAGCAGTAGATCTGATGGTCATCGGCATAGGCAGACAACTGAGATTTAACGCCAGTGTAGAATAGATCGTTTTGATACACGTTCCACAACAGCGGTCCCAAGGATGACCCTTGCGGGCAGCCTCGTTTGACAGCTTTCCAACCACTTGTGTAGTTGCCAACTCTTGTTCTGTTTTCCCGATCATCAAAATAAGATCGCATTAATCCTAAAGCGGGGTCAGACAGCCCATAGGCTTTTAACTTTGCCGGTAACAAATTTGGATGTAATGAGTCAAAAGCTTTGCTCATGTCCGTGGATAATATCACTGATGCATGCCCTTTGTCTGCTGCATGCTTCCAATCTTCAGTAAGGCGTATCAAGGTCGTTTCGCAGCTGAAGTGTTTGCGGTAAGCTGACAAAAAGGTATCGAAAATTGGCTCAAACTTTTCACTTGGTTGTTTGCATATTTTAAAACTGCTCAAAGATTTTATCAACCGCAGTTAGCACAGTTACTGGTCTGTAATTAACTTTATCTAAGGGGTCTTCCTTTTTATAAATCGGGATCCACTCTCCTCTTTTCCAGGCGCTGGGCCAACGATTTTCCTCAATAGCCTGATTAAATATAGTAGTCAGTGGTGTTGCTAGCAGTTCTGCTGTCATTTTAAGTACTCTTGAAGGTAACATATCATATCCTGTTGCTTTATGGGGATTAATTTCTCTCAGTGCTGCGAGGACCTCATTCCTATCCAGTCTTCTGAAACTGAATGTATTTGGGTCGTGCCTGGCGTTTATGTTCGCGACACTATGATGTTGATAACATAGAGCCTCTGTTAGAGCCCCTACGTCAGTCCCACCAATGTGATCAGCTATCGAACAAAAGTAGTTGGTATAAATTCTTGTGCCACAAGCCTCTGGTCCTGGTGTGTAACACCTTCGATATCAAGAGAGATTAAACTTTTGTCCTTTTTTGGTTTGGTCCTGAAGAACGGAGTAAAGGTGTTATAGAATTTTTTTGAGTTATTATTCATGTCCTCGCATATGGCATTCCAATAATTTTTGATTGCCTTTCTTCTTAATCGTGTGGCATTATTGCGCCATTTCTTCATTAACTCCATGTTTTCTTTGGTTTTGTTTTGACTGAATTTCTTGGGATACTTTCTCTTTTTCCGGATGGCTTCCTTCCACTCACCCGTCATGTATGGTACGTCTATCTTCCGTGCTTTAACTCTCTTTAATGGCAGGTGTTTATCCACAATCCTCATTAATTCCGTGTACCAATTATCATATAGCTTATCAACTTCTGTCACATTTTGTTTAAACCATACCGCTTCCTCCAGATCTTTTTTGAATTCTTCCATATCTAGATTTTTAAAGCTTCTGCAAGTAATGATGTCTGCTGTGTGTTTTTGACAGTTTCCTTCAGAAAACCATATACCATACAATGATCACTCAGGCCAATATCACTGACTCCAGCATTTTTAAAAAGATCCGGTTGATTTGTCAGGAGTACGTCCAAGAGCGTCTGCGATGTATCCGTAATTCGTGTGGGTTCAGTAACAAGACATGTCAGCTCAAAGACTTCCTCAATGTCTCTCAGCAGCTTTGCCTCTCTTCCATTTACCTTAAGTTTATCCATGTTTAAATCTCCCATGATGATAACCGTAGAAAATTGCATGGTGGCCCACATAAGGCATTCATTGAACTCTTTTTCCAGCTCTGCATAGTAATTGGTCCCTCTACAACGCGGAGGTCTGTACAGACCCAAGATAATTGCATTTGTGTTATTTAACTCGACCTTTACGACCAATACCTCTATCAGCTCAAGTACAAAAGGTACCCTAAGTTTCTTTGAAGGTATTTGCGATGTTATGTAGGTTAAGACTCCTCCGCTTCCCTTTGCCCTTTTCTGGCGATAGATCTTGTAGTTCGGGAGACTGAACTGTGCATTCGTGTAGGAAGAATCAATCTTTGTTTCTGTTAAAACGATGATTCCTGCTTTGAGTTCAGAGTTAGTTACCTTCAGTTCGTCGATCTTGCTCTGCAGACTATTGATGTTCAGATGGAATAACAGTTGTTGATTAGGATGTTCCCGTTTTAAATCTACAAGATCCTGTAACGAGTCTTTCTCCGACTCTCGAGTTGGTGTCAGCGAACCTGTGTCATCAGAGCCAGTGGATGAGTTAAGTGTCGAGTTCAATGTTGTATTAGCGAAGGGAAGAACCGATAGTAAACAGGGTGGGCAAATCCAGCTAAGATTGTCCATCTGTTGGAATTCTCTGTACTGCTTTGGAGTAACATAGCCACATTTTATGTGGCACCATGAGTCACACTGGTCACAGCTTAATGCTCGATGTGTTCGAGCAACAGTTTTGAGGCAAACAGCGCAATTTTCGGGCCCTGGATTTTCGCTTATATCGCCGCTAACAATCAGGCGAATTTGGTGAAAGCTACTATCCGAGTTTGAGTAGTAGTTGACTCTTGAAGCAAAATATCCTTTGCTACGCGAAAAGGACAAAAGATGGCGGACATGCTTGAAAGAGCATGCATACTGCTTTTGTAAAGGAATGGCCTCTGTGTGGCTGCCAAAGTTGAACCGAGGGTGGAAAAGGCCTCTCCGAGAACTTTCCAATATATGTTCACTCACATGCGATGAAAAAAGTGCCAGAAAAATGAGAAAAGGCTGAGAGCAGAGACAGACCCGACCATTCGCCATGCTGACCGCTGATGATTCAAATCCCTGAATTTGATGTAAATGTCTTCTAAGACATTTAATCCATTCAAAGATTTTCAATCTGACCAAATGGAGTGAAGTTCTCTTAAAATATTCACTGCTTATTGCGCATACAGGAATGCCGATTTAAATTTGACACCAGTTACGGGAACGACTAACGGATTCATTTTTTCAAATAATCAATTCATTAATAGAATCTTTTTGGGGTAAGCTTGACCTGCTTTGGCTGTTCACGTTGGATTTTGCATGTCTTCTCTGTTATTTACAATACCGACCGGTACAGACAAACGCACCCGCAACCGGTGCAACAAACATCGGTGGTCTTAACTTCTCATGCCTTTTCGAGAGAACCGAAATACAAATACCGGTAAACAAATATGAATGTCCACAAAGGCTGAGCTTTTCCTCGGGGAATCTATTCTGAGGTTCATTCACCAATCACAACACCGGAAATTGCTTCCGTCATGGCATTAACATTACAAACAATCAGAGGCTATCCCCAACATTCCGGGGAAACGGGAACACGATTATCGTCGGCGACTCACAGACGTCTCCTCTCCCGATTTTTCCCGAGGGAGGGGGAACGTCTGTACACAGGCTACAATTCAACTTAAACTAGCACTATAGTGCTTTGAAATTATGCATTTTCTTTCTATAGCATGTTTCCATCCTCTCGGAATGGATAGCAGAATAATAACTGATGGCCAGATCAAAGCGTCATCCGAGTACAACGCCGCACACGGCGCCACCAATGGCAGACTCAATTTCAAGCCTGGAGGAGGTAAGACTGGCGCATGGTCCGCCCTTCAAAATGACGTTCATCAGTGGCTACAGGTCGATCTTGAAGTCAAAACCGAAGTGTCAGGAATAAAAATCCAGGGAAGACAAGACGCCGATCAATGGGTTACGAACTTTACTATTTCCTACAGCATCAACGGCACAACCTATACATCTTATCAGAACAGCAAGGTATGGAAACCAATGAAAATCGTGGCAAGAGAAACTCAAGCAATTAACTAATCGAATCTCGACACGGTAACATGAAAATGTGTTAAGAGTGGTTGTCAGAGAAAACCGGGCAAAATGTTAAAAATGTCAACGGAGGGGGGTCAACAGAATAAGTTTATACTAACATCATAGATAGGTTAGGTGGAGTAATGGACAAATATAATAAACATAGGTTCTTCACTGCTCTTGTATTAGAGATACGAGTATCACTCTATTCGACCCCCTCGGACGCCATTTTTATAAGCAAATTTTCACCATTTTCTGAAACTCACAGAACCCTCAAAATTTAACGAGCGAAGTTTATTTTTTGCATGCGATACAACACATCATAGAACTACTTTCTAAAACCATAAGAATTGTTAAGCAGCCACGGACAAGACTAAAATTTTCTTATTTTATCTGACCTAAACTCAGTGTCTGCAAAGGAGCAAAAAATCGGGCATTTTTGAATTGATCTACAGCGTACAACTAAAACGACAGAACAACTCTGACAGCCAAATTGCAGTCTACTATCACCCATGTAACCAAAACACTAATAATCATTTTGGGCCATTGAAACAGGAAGAAATTAGAAAACTCACATTTGTTATAGTTTCCAAGCTTTTTCTTGCAAACAGGCCGATCCCTTCGTGCTTGTTTTAAGTCCTCTTCGTGAGTTTTCTTCCATATTTCGCTGTAAAGTATGTTCAGCAGCTGGAGGAAATATCAAAAAGCTTTAAATACTGCCTAGGTTACATGTTCAAAGGGCAAAAAGTACTGAACAACAGGATGAAACTAGAAAATAACAAAGCGACGCCATCTTGAAAATTCAGCACTCAGGAGGGACTGGCACTAGTAGCTGCCTTGTCCTACCAAAGAGATAAAAAGCAAAAACAAGCAAACCGGCTTATGAGTTACCTACTACAGTCCTATTTCTGCTTCAATCACTACTTTTAGCTAAATTTAGCTTTTTTTGTGTTGTCGGGTTTTTTGTGGCGGAGTGATAGGTTGTGGTGAAGATGACCAATTGGCATTACTTTATTCAGTCTTCATTTACTCTTCATTCACTTCATTTTGAGTTATTGTATCATCTATTTTTGCGTCAGTCTTCAATCACCGTCCATGTCCGAAGGTCCACTCATCTCCTGTTCATGATTTAATGATGCGCTTTTCATAGTCCGGAAGACTTCGCCCGAAGGGTACCTTTTTCAAGCATCAGGTGTTACGAAGGGTAGGAAAATCACAAGTTGAAGTATGTGAAAGGAGAGGAAAATCTTTCATTAAGTATTTTAAAGGGCCTTTTATTAAATGCTTCGAAGAAACACGCCTTATGGCAATATTATTTACATGTTAATTCAGTTAAAGGTTACACGAAAATGGCCCGAAGACCTCCTTTCTTACCGATTTATTCTCACGAAGCATATATATGAAAAGGGTACAACTTTTCAATGGAAGATACACGAAAGGGGTACCTTTGTCAAAAATAGTATATATGAGGGTAAGGGACTGGACCTCGGGGCGAAACCTCTCCGAACAAAGCTTTATTGAGTAGCCTCCGACCCCCCTCCCCTTCTCCCTAGGGCTTTCCACAAGTTGCTCGGCAACTTTTTGGCAACTTCTAGTATTTCGAGCAACTATTTTCGTTTCAAGCAACTTTTTGCATAATTTCTGAGCAATTTCTCTTATCTGAGCAGCTCTTAGTGCTTACATTGGCCTTGCTTCCATATTGCACAGTGTTTTAGTAGACAATTTATGAATTTCCTATGAAAAAGGAGCGAGATCCTCACCCCTCGGGGGCGGATGATGGGCACAAGATGCAGCTGGGCTGCTAGGTCAGAGGTTTTTTTGAACAAAAAGGCAAAATGAGGGATTTCGATTCACACTTGACTGACACGAGTGTCTGAAGAAGGTCATTAAACAATTTTAATGGCTCATACTAGAATTTTTACGAGATTAATATTAATATTGATGTGTAGTCTTTACTCATACATTTTTTGGTTTTAATTGTGGTTTATGGGCTCCTGATGGCGGACAGAGTTATCTAGCAACGCTAATTACGCTGCGAAATAGCACAAAATTTTGTTTTTATACTCTACCAGGAGCCATATTTATCTAAATCGGGGTCGTAGACCGTAACTGGATACCTTTTCCAGGGATGGGGTTGACTTCATCGAAATATCAGGGGCACCCAACGAGAAGATAGTTCAAAACCACTTAAACATAGCATTGTTAAACGTATTTTAGTATTTAAACGGTAGATATGGGCATATTTTTATCCCCTAGAAATTTTTCATCTGTTCCGATTTCCTAGCTGAAAGTCTAATGATCCGAAAATTATAGGGATCAACACTTACCTTTTCGAAAATTTCAGCCAGAAAAAAGGCTCCCGAAAATTCTAGGTGACCTTTTAAGGGTAAGGCAAGCAAGAAATTTTACAATGAAATGTTCCGAAACTTCTAGATCGCAAATCGTCTTCCAAACAGATATTTTCTGAAAATTGTCGTTGGTTGCCCCTGAAATATATATCATAGCCATTAAATGTGCTAATTTTAGCACATTTTGTGCCATCTCGTGTGACTCACTCGCGCATTTTTTGCAACAGCGCCGTAGAAAAGATTAACAAACGAAACGGCGTTGGAAATTACCTCCTTAGGAGATGCATGATAAATTCCATTTCTGTCATCATTGCCTCCTCTGAATTTAAGGCAAGACCTTGACAATTTCTCTAAATGTGAGGACTGCTTATGTTAAACAACGTAGTGAGAATGTTTTTGACAAATCCAGTGACACAAATCACAGCTACACCAGTAAACTAAAAGGAACCTAGTGGCTGTAAACGTCCAGGTGTGTGACTTCTATCAATGATCAATATGGTGGAAAAGGTACCAACTCGAGTTAACACTCGGACCCCTTTTACAAATTTTTGAACGGCCAAAAACTTGCACGGATCCGCCTTTTCTTTACTTGCGACCCGCGGAACCGTGCAAGTTTTTGAGCTGCAAACAGTACCGAGAAGAGAGAATTTGCGCGTTCCCTCTAAACGTGGCATTTATCTTGTGTGGACCGTGCAAAGAGCATTCTGAAAAAGAAGTGAGTGGGAAAAACAATGAGGGGAAGCGGTACGGAGTGAGAGTCGTAAAAACTCCTTTAATGGTACTTTTAACAAAACTGAGCTCCTTCCGGATCCTTCTGGTATACCAGGTTATGGTAAACGCTATGAATGGTTTATTTTGACAGCTCTTGTCAACATTGGAAGGTATATTACCTTATGGAAATACGAAGTGACAGCGATGAGATCATCAGTTAGAAGGCTTACTTTCAAAAAAGTACCTCGTTCGCTAGCTCTTTTGGCCGCTTTGCGGCCTAAAATGCCCGTTCCGCAAACTGATTCAACTGCATGTACTATGTTTATTTTAACAAACAGTTGGTAATAAAAATTATTACAAATTTTACAGCAAGCAATATCCACTTCCCGCAGTTAGCCCGCACGCTTCGAAACTCGCGAGGTTAATATATAGCAAGTCCAGCTAGCTCGCATGAGAGCGAGGTTAAGTGATTCATAAAGAAACAAAATAGATCTTTAATATTATATCTACATTCACGGGCGGGCGTACGGAAAAGCCGGAATCCGGAATCCGGAACCGGAGCCGGAAACGGAACCGGAACCGGAACCGGAACCAGAACCGGAACCGGAACCGGAACCAGAACCGGAACTTAAATTGAGACCAGGGTAAACTGGGAAGCGCTGAAACCAGTTCCCGATACGCGTGTGGAAATAAAACTCAAGATGGCGTCCTCTGTTATCATTGTTTTGAGAAATTTTCAGCACAGTGATCGTGATACCAAAGATATACTCACCGCGCGAAAGAGCTTACGTTTGGTTATTTAGTATACGCATGTGTTCTACTTTATCAAACATGCTTACACATCGCGCTTAGACACTTTTACCAGAAAAAAAAAACAAACAAACAAAATATTCAGTTGTAATTTACATGACTTTATTTAAAAAAGAACATATAACCACTAAAATTCAAAGAATCAGCCCATGCTGTTCCGCCGCAGACTCGAGCATAAATTCAAGGCACAACAACTTCACATTTTCACACGTACTCACATTTCAATCGATTCGTTGCTTTGTCGCGATCTGTAAACGAAAACAGATATGTTTTTGCAAAATGGTAACATTTCTTCAAACTCTGTAAAACGGAAAAGAATGAAAACTTTTATCTTCTTACTCGTACCTTCTGTTAAAAGGGCTCCGTGTTTCATCCATTGTCAGGGAAGGGCGGCAAAGGGAGGAGGAGTACGATCATGATCCCAACTTGCGACGCTCACGCGTATATGAAATTCTCGAAGAAAAATTTTGCTCCGTACGCGAAAAATGCGACAGTAAAAAATATAATAACACTAAATAAATATAATATGGGGATGAAACGTCTTGACCGAGCAATTATTGTTAGTGACACTCTCAAGACAGAAACGTCTCCAATTTTTATTTCTTAGGTTCGCGTTCCGGTTCCGGCTCCGCTTCCGGTTCCGGATTCCGGCTTTTCCATACGCCCTTCACGGGACACCTCTAAATGAGGAGGGAATGAAGCAATGCCAGTTAATCACCAATTAACCTGCGCTCAGGCGTTCTTCTAAAGCTAAATTCAACTAAAAGAAGTAATTGAAGAAGAAATAAGACTGGAGTAGGTCTCTGATAAGCTTGTTTGTTTGTTTTTTGCTTTTTATCTCATTGGTAATCAGGAGCCCATAGGCTCCTGGTAATAGTTCGTAATAGCCCACGTTCGATAAAGGAAAACTCTAACATGAATCCGAGGCTTTCTGGTTACATTTCTATTTTAGGTTTGGTTTTCTATGTGCTCGTGGAAAATTTGCAATTTTTGTCCGTACGTGTCTCCGTATGCAGCTACTAGTGCCAGTCCCTCCTGAGTGCTGAATTTTCAAGATGGCGTCGCTTTGTTATTTTCTAGTTTCATCCTATCGTTCAGCCCTTTTTACCCTTTGATCATGTAACCTAGGCAGTATTTCGAGCTTTTTGATATTTCCTCCAGCTGCTGAACATACTTTACAGCGAAATATGGAAGAAAACTCACGAAGAGGACTTAAAACAAGCACGAAGGGATCGGCCTGTTTGCAAGAAAAAGCTTGGAAACTATAACAAATGTGAGTTTTCTAATTTCTTCCTGTTTCAATGGCCCAAAATGATTATTAGTGTTTTGGTTACATGGATGATAGTAGACTGCAATTTGGCTGTCAGAGTTGTTCTGTCGTTTTAGTTGTACGCTGTAGATCAATTCAAAAATGCCCGATTTTTTGCTCCTTTGCAGACACTGAGTTTAGGTCAGATAAAATAAGAAAAGTTTAGTCTTGTTCGTGGCTGCTTAAACATTCTTATGGTTTTAGAAAGTAGTTCTATGATGTATTGTATCGCATGCAAAAAATAAACTTCGCTCGTTAAATTTTGAGGGTTCTGTGAGTTTCAGAAAATGGTGAAAATTTGCTTATAAAAATGGCGTCCGAGGGGGTCGAATCAAGTGATGCTCGTATCTCTAATACAAGAGCAGTGACGAACCTATGTTTATTATATTTGTCCAATACTCCACCAGACCTATCTGTGATGTTAGTATGAACTTATTCTGTTGACCCCCTTCCGTTGACATTTTTAACATTTTGCCCGGTTTTCTCTGACAACCTCTCTTAAAACCTCAGACCCGCATTAGCCTCCACAAGTCGCCCACTAGTCTAACCTTAGCACTTTATTTTCCCGCTGCAGGTCTTTAATGGAAACACGGACCGCAACACCGTGGTTTTGAACGTTTTGCACCCTTCAATAAATGCACGCTACATACGGGTGCATCCTAAGACGTGGCATAACCATATTTCTATGAGGATGGAACTCTTGGGATGTCCATCAGGTACTGATAATATTTTTCGTTTTCATGAAAATGAAAAAAAAGCAGGGGCATCCAACGACTGTTTCGAGTAAAATGTTTGTTCAGAGAGCCAAATATTGCCTAAAATTTTCTATTACTTGAGGAAGGCTAAAAATTTGTAGATGATCGTTCCATTCATGTACAATCTTCGAAGCTTATCAAATATATTCCCTACGATTGTCTGAAGTTCAATTTTTCAAATTGCACTCCCCTTTAAATGTGATGGAGAGAGGAATCGGAAAAATTCTAACATTCGTAATATGTTAAAATGGATGTAAAGTTTTCGGAAAAATAATACTGAAGCCCTTGCAATTTCGAAACGACTCAAATTCCCCTTGGATGACCGAACAGATACAAATTCTACAGCGCCGCTTAGAATGCATCTCTAGAGATCTAAAAGTACTCTGGAAGCCTAAAAAGTGTTTCAATTTATTTGGGAGGAAACTGTGGTGGCTGCCCCTGAAAAAGGTTCCCTCTGACTAGCACAACGGCGGTAAACTGTTTACTCGCATGCTCACTCAACTGCAGTTCACTCTTCCTACTACACGTATCACAAAATCACAGCCAAACAAGGTGCTTTAGAATCACGTAATCAATTTAATAGAACGCACTAATCGTGCAATATCCTTTGTAAAGCATGTTTCGACCCGCTCGGGATGGAGACCAAGAAAATAACCGATGGCCAGATCACAGCGTCAACCGAGTACAACGCTGCACACGGCGCCACCAATGGCAGACTCAATTTCAAGCCTGGAGAACGAAAGACTGGTGCATGGTCCGCCCTTCAAAATGACGTTCATCAGTGGCTACAAGTCGATCTTCAAGGCAAAACCGAACTGACAGGAATAAAGATCCAGGGACGACAAGAAGTCGATCAGTGGGTTACGAGCTTTACTATTTCCTACAGCAGCGACGGCACCACCTATACATCTTATCAGAACAGCAAGGTATGGAAACCAATGAAAATTGTGGCAAGAGAAACTCAAGCAATTAACTAATCGAATCTCGACACGGTAACATGAAAATGTCTCAAAATCCCAGACCCGCGTTAGCCTCCACAAGTCACTTACTAGTCTAACCTTAACACTTCATTTTTCCGCTGCAGGTGTTTAATGGAAACACGGACCGCAACACCGTGGTTTTGAACGTTTTGCACCCTTCAATAAATGCACGCTACATACGGGTGCATCCTAAGACGTGGCATAAACATATTTCTATGAGGATGGAACTCTTGGGATGTCCATCAGGTGCTGATAATATTTTTCGTTTTCATGAAAATGAAAAAAAAGCAGGGGCATCCAACGACTGTTTCGAGTAAAATGTTTGTTCGGAGAGCCAAATATTGCCTAAAATTTTCTATTACTTGAGGAAGGCTAAAAATTTGTAGATGATCGTTCCATTCATGTACAATCTTCGAAGCTTATCAAATATATTCCCTACGATTGTCTGAAGTTCAATTTTTCAAATTGCACTCCCCTTTAAATGTGATGGAGAGAGGAATCGGAAAAATTCTAACATTCGTAATATGTTACAATGGATGTAAAGTTTTCGGAAAAATAATACTGAAGCCCTTGCAATTTCGAAACGACTCAAATTCCCCTTGGATGACCGAACAGATACAAATTCTATAGCGCCGCTTAGAATGCATCTCTAGAGATCTAAAAGTACTCTGGAAGCCTAAAAAGTGTTTCAATTTATTTGGGAGGAAACTGTCGTGGCTGCCCCTGAAAAAGGTTTCCTCCGACTAGCACAACGGCGGTAAACTGTTTACTCGCATGCTCACTCAACTGCAGTTCACTCTTCCTACTACACGTATCACAAAATCACAGCCAAACAAGGTGCTTTAGAATCACGTAATCAATTTAATAGAACGCACTAATCGTGCAATATTCTTTGTAAAGCATGTTTCGACCCGCTCGGGATGGAGACCAAGAAAACAACCGATGGCCAGATCACAGCGTCAACCGAGTACAACGCTGCACACGGCGCCACCAATGGCAGACTCAATTTCAAGCCTGGAGAACGAAAGACTGGTGCATGGTCCGCCCTTCAAAATGACGTTCATCAGTGGCTACAAGTCGATCTTCAAGGCAAAACCGAACTGACAGGAATAAAGATCCAGGGACGACAAGAAGTCGATCAGTGGGTTACGAGCTTTACTATTTCCTACAGCAGCGACGGCACCACCTATACATCTTATCAGAACAGCAAGGTATGGAAACCAATGAAAATTGTGGCAAGAGAAACTCAAGCAATTAACTAATCGAATCTCGACACGGTAACATGAAAATGTCTCAAAATCCCAGACCCGCGTTAGCCTCCACAAGTCACTTACTAGTCTAACCTTAACACTTCATTTTTCCGCTGCAGGTGTTTAATGGAAACACGGACCGCAACACCGTGGTTTTGAACGTTTTGCACCCTTCAATAAATGCACGCTACATACGGGTGCATCCTAAGACGTGGCATAAACATATTTCTATGAGGATGGAACTCTTGGGATGTCCATCAGGTGCTGATAATATTTTTCGTTTTCATGAAAATGAAAAAAAAGCAGGGGCATCCAACGACTGTTTCGAGTAAAATGTTTGTTCGGAGAGCCAAATATTGCCTAAAATTTTCTATTACTTGAGGAAGGCTAAAAATTTGTAGATGATCGTTCCATTCATGTACAATCTTCGAAGCTTATCAAATATATTCCCTACGATTGTCTGAAGTTCAATTTTTCAAATTGCACTCCCCTTTAAATGTGATGGAGAGAGGAATCGGAAAAATTCTAACATTCGTAATATGTTAAAATGCATGTAAAGTTTTCGGAAAAATAATACTCAGAAGCCCTTGTAATTTGGAAACGATTCAAGTTCCCCTAAGATGACCGAACAGATATAATGCATCTCTAGAGATCTAAAAGTACTCTGGAGAGCCAAAAGAAGTGTTTCAATGTATTTAGGAGGAAACCGTCGTTGGGTGCCTCTGAATAAATTTTAAGCTTAAGCCTCTTTTTGAGCATGTATTATCGAGGTTTTTCAGCTTTGGAATTCCACAAATAGTTTTGAAGAGGATAGCTAGTGGGTGTACTTCGCTTTTAACGAAGGTTACCCGCTCCCCTTTACTTAATTCGGGCGCCGGTAACTGTTCCCATTTAAGCAGTTCTTTTAAATCTTCGCTTTTTTAAGGTCAACTGTCGTGCGAAAATCAATTTAGACCGGGCGCTGTAGATTAAGAAAAAAACAAAAACAACAAACGATCAGAAAACTGTTAATAGGGCAAATGTTAAAAAGAGTATTAAAGCAGTTTAAGATTATTCCCTCAATGGGTACTACAGCATTGATTACAGCATTTTTGCAAGTTAACTGCAGTTTTCAGGTATCCACTACCCATGATACCACAGGAATGATTAAAGCATTTTTTACATGTTAAATGTGGATTACAGGTATCCACTACCCATGATACTACAGCATAGACCTTGTCACGGTTTTCGACGCCATCTTGACGAGTAGGCAAACGCGTGAGAAATTACAGTGTTTGTGTGAGAATCTAATGTCGAATAATTTCCGTAGAACGGCTGTCCTGAAAAAATATGAATTGTGAACTAAAGCTTCATTCCTAGGGATTCTACTCCAAAAAATTGAGGGCGTCACATGCGCCAAAAGACCTAGAACCACTTTTTTAGATTTTCTATGCATTTGTCTGTAAGAAAGTTCCGGGAAAAATTATAGACAAATATATGGAAAATCTAAAGCAAGCCTCTGGAGAAATTTAAGCACAGGTACTCCCTGTCTGTCCTCCAGTTTGTCTTTGTCCTTGACATTGGTAAGCAGTCCCCGTAAAGTAGTTATCGGTTTGTGTGCAACACGTATATTGTAAGGTTGTGTTACAACACGGACTTTGTTAGACGGAACACTTACAGTAACACTGATTCCAACACTCAGATCGACTCTGGCCCTGTTACGACAGCGACTATACCGTACATCAGAGGCACCTCTGAAACTATTGCACGTATATTACAACCTTACAATGTACGTGTGGCACACAAACCGATAACCACTTTACGGCGACTGCTTACTGATGTCAAGGACAAAGACAAACCGGAGAACAGACAGGGAGCAGTATACAAGATCAAATGCTGCGACTGCTAGGCTTCTTACATTGGTGAAACCGGCAGAAACCTAAGTACGCGACTGACCGAACACAAACGAGCGACGAGGAATGGTGATGTCAACAATCACATTGCTGAGCACCATTTACAGACGAAACGTCGAATTGACTGGGACTTTGTGACATGTATAACGTCTTCTACAGACTACTATCAACGTCTTACCTTAGAAAGCTGGTTTACTAACTTAGAACAAACGCCACTCAATCATGGCCAACAGTTACCAGCGCCGTACAGACGACTTATTGACGAAATCAAGCAAAACTAACTACGAGAGAACGACTGGAGAACTGACAATTTGACTAACAATAGACGACTGATTAACTGTGACTAGACGGATCGAAACGCACCAATTACTGATTACGAGTTTTCATAGCCGAGAACATCACGGCTTAACTGACAGACGACCAATAACATCGCAACGTAATTGACCAATCAGATCAATAACCAGAGTATAATACTATCAACTGACGTGATACAACTCACTTTGACTCTGAAGATGACTACCGCACAGGTTGTCGAAACGTCAGTCACTGTCAACAACAACAGTCCTATTCAGGACTACGTTCACCCGGACGATCAAACTCAACCTACTTTTGAAATGACTCCTGGGTTCAAACCTTTCACATTTTTTCATAGATATACGGTGTTTACTCTAAGCGAATAGGGTATTTTAAGTGGCATGTATTTGCAAAATGTAAGTCTGGTCTTAGGTGACGTGACAGAAGGCAAGTTTTCGATACTAAACGGAGTCTTGTATTGATTTAATGGGGGCTAAATAGTGAGCTGACTAGTTATTAAATCGGAACGATTAAATGGATTCTAGTATTCATTTACGAAGTAAAATGATTTCAGTTTATTCGAACTTGGTATTTTATGTATTTCTTTTTATTAAAATTAGCTCCATTTGCCCAGCTGCTGCTGATAATGATCCTAAATACACACAAGATGTCCTACTTTCAGAAAACGGATATTTCAATTCAACACAAAGCGCGGGATTTTTTAAGAACGAAGAACTTAAGTCAAGTTTAGGGACAAGATGTTCCACTTTCAAAAAACATTATTTTTTTATTTAGGACCCATGAAAGGAGAACGCCTTGACTCCTTCATGGTCCTAAACTCATAAAAATTCCAAAGAAAATTATAAGAATCTAGTAATCCAGAAAAAATGTGTTGTCTTTGGTTAGTAACTAACTAAAAGAAGGCCTGTGTACATTAACAATGTGCAATATCGTGCGTAATGCAGTAAAGCACACTTGAGTTTCGATAAGTAGTCTCTTGAAATGAGAGGTATGTTACTAGATTGAACATCTTATCATATATAACTCTTGACAGTGAATAATTAGGAAGCCCAGAATAAGCATGATTCAGTAGAAATCCTTAAGGCCACCGTCTATTTCCTCTCACTTCGCTATTTTTTTTGTTTCATTTATTATTTTTTCTTTGTACTTTTATTTTTTATGTTTACTTATTATGGCTCAGTCAATTCCAAGCGTGCCCATACCCCCCGGTCATTTGTCGGGCATTTGTCATCTTGTTGGTGCCTGCTGTGGGGAATTTGTCGGATTAATATTGTTTTTTTTTTTAAAAATACTTTACTTAAAATATGTCTATTTAGATAAAGAAGACAACACATTGCTGGTTTAATCTTTGTCAAAAGATGTCTTGCCTCAGGGAGATTTTTAACTCTGGTTGGATGCCCTAAAAAACCTAAAAAATCCGAAAATGTGCGACCCCGTTCTAGTAACTCTATTGAAAATGCTACCCCATTATAGTCAATCCAGTCGTGAAATTGCGACTCCATCGAGCGGCACATCCCCATTAGCCTCTTATGAGTAAGTACAATCCCGAGACGCAAGAACAGGAAAAGAGGACGACATGCACATAGCAAAACGTCATAAAGACGCAATTATGAGGATTGTATAAGTTTCGTAGGAAAGCCAAACCGAGAGTCGTCTGTAATTATTTAAGGGAGATCGCAACAGTTATGTTAAAATTAGCAGAGACGAAAGTTTAAGGTTTTAAGTTAAGGAGCAAATACCCTGCCCTTATAATGACTATAACTGATTCAACTGACGCACAACCAACGAAGAGATCGTTCAGTGATCGTTCTCCAAAGACAACGCATTGCCTAATATATTGTTTAATCTTTGTCAAGAGTTTCCAAAGGCGGTAATATAGATTTAGCCAGGGCTAAAAGCGAAGCTCTCAATAATATTTATAGTACGCTTGGAATTGACTGAGCCATCATATAAGACTCATAGCCCTGTTAGAACTTTCTGAATGTCCAAATAACCACTGGTATAATGGTTGTTGGAGAAAACAGAGATGATTGAGTGATCGACTTATATCGAAAGTGAGCTACTACGTGACGTTTATGAATAAATTCGAACAAATTACAAACGTCAAGTTGGAGGAACAGACTACAACATCTGTGTTTAAAACAAAACTCATTAGGCTGAGATGATTTTTCAGTTTTTTTGGAATTTTAGCCATGAAGAGAGTCTTCATCGTTATTGCGTTAGTTATCTTTGCTCCATGTTTTGTTCTTCAGGCAAAGGAGCTGCAGCAGGGCAATAGAGGTCTTTCTAACAAGTAGCTTCATTTTTATCCTCAGTGTTATAAAGGGGTATGACGAACTTTGTTTAATAACTCATCTGGTTTCGAAGCGTTAGGAAGGAAATTGGAGACAGACTACAGCCATTATCTAGCATTGGTATAAAAAATTCGATTTGACCAGTGATACTCCTTGACCTATTTAACCTATGAGACTGGTGTAAAAACAAGACGCATAAAAGTAGACGATAATGGTGAAAAAAAAGAAGAAGAAAAACCTGCATCAACAGAGTTTTCTGAAACAATGCGCAAAACTGACTCTTCCCAGTCGTTTCTGGAAGGGCTGGGCATAAATGTGGCCCAGTTTACGGCGTCCCATTTTTATACTGTCATTGCTGCGAAATTCAGCGTATCCCATTTTTTATTAGAAAATTGCGACCATTGAAATAAATTTGCTGTTGTTATTGACTTAAAAGTTGAGGTATAAGGTTTTAGTAATAAAATAACATTGCCAAAAGAATTTCAGAAAACTGAGAATGGCAAAAGTTCTCAAAACAGTTCCTGAAAGTATTTCCGAATTCAGCTTTTAATTGTTTTGGAATTGTGAAAACGTATCAGTCACTGAAGGAAAATGAGTATTTCCAGTTTCTAATTCTAAAACCCAGGCCAATCCCCAATCCCGTTTTTCTGTAAACACCATAAATTACTCAAAACCTTTCTTTGAAGACGAATGTTTGGTTCAAACTCCTGCTGCATGGATATTGTCAATCAGGAGATCAGCGTTACTTTTATAATGGCGGAAATTTTAATTAAAAAGGTATTGAGATAACAAGCTAACGTCCGTCAGAGCTCGAATGCTTCTGTTGAGTCACTTCAGCAAATTTGTTTATTGCTTCGAAATGAGCGCGTGTGTCAGTAACAGCAACAAATTCTCACCTCAACAACGGGTGGGGGAAACGCCAGTTTGTCCAAGGAGAAACAATGAAGGTAAGAAAGACGACACAAATTGCTGTTTTATAGGATAAATATTTTTATCAACCATTTTCTCATCAAATTAAAGTGTCGAAAACTTACCAAGTATTGCGAATCTGCCGCCCACGCAATAGCAAAACAGAGAGACATCGCGTCAGTTTTGATTATTGTGAGGAATACAACATCTTTTTATGATGGAATTTTAAGTAGTCCACAGTGAAAATTAAAAAGATTTGTTTCAGCCCCAAAGTGCCAATTCAGCCCTACAGGTCAATGTCTGATTCAGTCTCTTCTGGAGCCATAGAGCACAATTTAGGCAAAAACAGCCTCATCAATAGCCTATTCCAGCCCACGCTGAGACTCATTTCAGCCTCTGGGTCTAAATCAGCCCTAGATAACTGGACTATATTAGCCTTCACTAAGGAAGCCAAATTAGACCCAACAAAACAGGACTGTATTAGACGCACCTAAACAGCCTCAATTTAGAGCTTAAGCAGATCTTTCTTTACAGAGTAGCCTCGAAGTGTCAACCATTGCATGTTACTTTTACCTACCGGAGACTTCACAGACGTAAAGGGGCTCATGGCCCGTACATTGCCCGTTATTCCATTTCATTGTTAAATTATTACAGGGCTAAAAGAAATCAGAAAAAAGTACAACAGGGCAATGAAATAGTACGGAGTTAAGACAGTTAACTTAAATAAGGCGTCAGTGTCCACTTTCTTTTAAAGAATTCTTTGTTGCTGATTTTTTCTTCTGTTTCATATTTAGCGATGATCTTCGTCCTAAATCCATAAATGTTTGGAAGGATTTGTTTGCTCCTACGGTCCCACAAATAGAGTTTTCCAATAATTATAAAATAGTTCAGCAATTGAAGTAAAGGGCAAGCATTTTCCGTCAAAATTCCAAAGAGTACATTTTCCAAGCAGAGACGAATTCGTTGATTCGAAATAAGGCACCAATATAATTCAAATTCAATTACTGTTATCTGTTAAGCGCGCGCAGAACCAAGTCAATTTCTGGGTCAAATCGATCTTGCTATGCCAAAGATTGTGGTGAACACTCAGAAAGAGCATATGTTTTCACTTCAGAATGGTCAGTTGAGTCACTAAATTGAGTCAGGACTCCTGATTGAGCATAGTTGAGAGAGCGATCTCTTGGTCGGTTATGTAATCTATACTGAATCATAAGCAAATGATCAGTTGGCATCTACCTTAATACACCTTATTACGGTCTCATTGTTTTAGCCAGATTTAAAGACATCACAACTTCTTTTCCGAAAACATCATTTCTTAAGACTAAGACTTCATGTTCCAGCACTGATCGTATAAACAGAGTCCCCCAGTACGTGGAGCAATGTGTTTTCGTATCACTCTCAAACAGGAGAATCTAAGTCTTTGAGCTAATAAATTGTACCTCCATTCGTTTTGGCAATTCATGGGCAGTTTCATCTTTACTAAAGCCAAGTATAACCGAGAAAGAGGTAGCCTCATAATAAAGACAAACTAATCAGTTTTAATCATTCACTTTTTTTAATTGATATCTGCAGCTTTTTTCCTACCTCCGCCAAATATTACGAGACTGGTATTTGAAAACTGTGGATTTACCTTGACATGGGAGCGATACACACAAAGAGATATTCTCACTGCTGGATATCAAGTAAAACTTGTTTCTGTCAAGAGTGGTTCAGATAAAGTCACTAACGTTTCCAGTGACACTCAAAGTTACACATTTTCATCTGATCTAATTCCTAATTCTGCTTATGCAGTAAGTGTCAGGGCAATAACAAATGTTGGATACAGTAACTGGACTGAAAATCAACTGAAAGCGTCTGCAGGTAATTTCTGTATTATATTTGTTCGTTCGTTCATACATGCATTCAGTCGTTCATTAATAATACGTAAAAATACATTTATCGCAGAACCTCGCGAGGTTTGGGGTAGGGAGGCCTGTGTTCGTCATTAATAATAATTTATTCATTCGTTAAAAATCTAACCTGCATTGAGTAGCAGTGGCCTGAAAATTGGCGTTGTTGCTGATTTACAAATGCGCATTCTTTTTCTGAAAGTTATATCGCTCTTGCTTCCTTCAGTGTCTAGTCTTTATTTTAATTGATCAACAAAAGGAGAAAGCTCCGTAATCAGGTCTGTTAAAATGAGTAGGAAATCAATAATTCTAAGTCAATAATTTTCAAACTAATATGCTTACAGATATCCCTGACAAGCCAGTTATTAAACAGATTACATCAAAGGGATGCGTGGCTGCTCTGCAGTGGACTGGGCCGAAGCCCAAGGAATGCCCAGTTCTCTTCTACAAGATTCGCTACAACGAAGAGAAAGCAACTAAAAGCGAGTGGAATGAGATAAACGTCACAGACCCAGACGTCAATAAGCTCGAGCTGACTTTGAAGTGTGTTACAACATATGAGTTTGAAGTTTTAGCGTGGAATGCCCTGGGATGGAGTCTCCCCTCTACTGTGCGATCAGTAACAACGGAAGAGGGCCGGAGTGTTTTTAAATCCCATAAAAGTTTGTAAAATTTTAACCTTCTATATATTTTAATGGTTTTTAAACGCAATAGTTCCGCTGATACTTACTCCAAGATTTTACCGTTATAAATACAAGTACTACGAGTAACAGAGTAGGCCGGTTAATATAACAGAATTTACTATAGCTAGTGTTTTGTTCTAATTCATTTTCATTTTCTCTAAATCGAAACGTCTTAACCTTATTCAACTCTAACAGTGTCAAAATGGCAAATTACCTAGATTAACTATCAAAATAGTTAAAATATCAAACTGAAAACAGGTATAGAGGCTCAATGACCGACACGGTCGGGTCAGGAGTACTGTCGACCGTCTAGAACTGTCTTTTTTAGACTATTTCAGTCACACTGTACGGGATAGCTTTTGCGCAGGCGCGGAAGCGTACAGGGCTTCTTTTCACACAGAGGAACAGTGAATTCCGCTCGATTTCCGTGACGGGACCCCGGGGGTACTTGATATATCCTTGGGTGGGGAGGTGCGGCCCGGCCCCTCATACTCTGACCCTGTTTAAGACAAAAACCGCTGATTTTCCTACCCTGTGTAAGACAGAATTCCGATTTTTGAGACCATACCCTGTGTGAGACAATAATAAATATCGAAACTCTTTCTTATTTAATCCATTGGCAATCACAAAAATATTTACAGCTTGATCAACAGAGTCACGCAGGCTGTTTATTGTCCAAGAAAAGATACCCTGTTTAAGACAAAAATTGATAAAATCGATGCCCTGATTTAGACAAAAATGATAAAATCGATACCCTGTTTAAGACAAAAATCCCGAAAAAACATACCCTGGCTGGCCGCACGTCCCTATTAAGCTCTTATAAGGGAGTACCCCCCCCCTCCCTCCCCCGGGGGACGGAACGAAGCTGCACCGCGTCAATTTGTAAAGTGGAGAGTCACATATCAGATAGGTGTTCGTACTATAACGGCTAGCCTTTCTTGTTGGCGCGAAAAGCTGTCCGGAAGAATGTAAACACAGCGCCTGAGTGAGTGAGTGAGCGAGCGAGAGAGCGAGAGAGTGAGTGAATGAGCGAGTGAGAGTTGACGTTGATTTTTTTTTCATTAATGTCAATTTGTTTCTTTCTTTGTTGTTGTCTTTTCGTTTTTCTCCATTACATTAAAGGCCTTTCATCGGGAAGTATCTTTTTGATCCTGTTTTCCATCGCTCTGGTTGTGGTTATTGTACTAGTTATTGGTGTGAAGTGTTATTGTAACAAACCACAACAACTCCCTGCTGCTAAGAGGTAAGTGTACAGAAACCAACAAAGGAAGACTTGTGTGACGCTTTTTTTCTCTGTTTATAATTCACAGTCATTCCTTCTTTGTTTTTGTCTGTGATATACCCGCCTCCCTCATAGCAGGAAGCCTTACAACTTGCTAAAATCGTTAGACCTGAGGACAGACGCAATGAACTCTGTATTAGGACTTTTGGTAAAATTACAAAGGCGGGCCCTTGTCAAAACATGCAAACACGATTAGGACTATAGCCCATAACTATTTCCTTAGAAAGTCTAACTCGTCTTTTAAATGAAAAATCAAGCGTTCTAGGCGAAGCTTCTTCTCTAGTGCTGTCCTTATAATAGCAAACTCACTGCCTAGTCCCTAGGCGTTCTGTTTTGCCCCGTTGTCAGCACGAAGTCTGGGTAAGAGCGGGCGAGTGGCTCTCGGTGACGTCACAGCTCACGGTAGAGTCCAGGATTGACCGAGCCGAGAACGCCTTGGGACTAGGCTGGCAAACTCAATATCTTTTAAAAGTTACTGAAATGTTGATGCAATTCTTAGTCCACGATTTGTTGTTAGGTTAGTACAATCTTTAGTAACTATGATTGAACCTTATTTTTGTATACTATTTTTAATTATTATATTGTAAACTCCAGTTTCAAGAAGGTTTTTGTAAATTTTCTGCATATTGTAAACACATTGTAATTCATTTTTAATGCGGGAATGTGAGGATTAAATACCTTTATTCATTTATTTATTTTATTTTGTTCACCACTTGTTTTAGAACCGCCAAAGATATTCAAGTATTGGATCATTGTGAAATTTCTCCAATGAGAACAGAATTTGTCGAAAATTTGGGACAGGGAGCGTTTTCAAAAGTCCAAAAAGCTAAATTGAAAGACGGTTTGGAGTACTTTGATTTGGAGAAATCAAGCAGAAGCGAAATGACTATTGCCATCAAAAAATTGCGTGGTAAGAGGGAACTTCTTGTGCACATAAAATGATATTATAGCGCTCATTTATCAATCGTCTCACGAGACTCGCTTTGTTATTAACCAGGACATTTCGGTCGCTTACTGCTGGTCTTCATATCACAACATTGTACTGTGTTATTTGGGAGATACCTTAGCTGACTTATGTTTGGTTTCAAAGGTGACAGCAACGTCCCTTAAAAAATGAATTTACGCACTTTCAAACTTTATCGCGTCTATTTGAACCCGCCCACTGATTTGTCAAATGTTGGCGAATTTTACCGGAGTTGAATTCTTAAGATTTTTTCCTGGCTCCAAAAGAGAAAGGAAAATTCGTCGGCGTATGTTCACGTCCTCCTTAAGACTTCGCATTAGGAGGTTTCACGTGGAATGAATACTTTCAAGAGGTTAGGATAAGGCACTTCTTCCGAGGAAGGCGGTAAATTGTCTTAAGTGTCACGTAATCAAAATAACCAAGCGATAATATTAATCAACGATCTGCTTTCTGTTAAAGACGGTGCAAGCGAAGAGGAAAAAAGGCAATTCCTGGATGAAATAGAACTCATGAAAGAGGTGGGGAAACATCAGAACGTGCTGAGTTTCCTTGGCTGTTGGACGACAACGAAACCATTTCTTTTGATCATGGAGTATGTTGCTCATGGAGACTTGCTTCGTTGGCTTCGCCGAAAAAGAAGTCAGGTATTTCTGTTAAAAAATAAAATAAAATAAAATAAGCTATTGACCATTTAGCGCCGATTTTTTTCATCAAACGCCCACATTTTCTGCTTGAATTCTGGTTTGATTTTCAGACGGATTTTGTGAATGCATGAGAATGCCATACGCAAAATTCGAGCTCATCAATTGCTACACTTTCAGTCGACGCCATGTTGAATTTTGAGCACGAGTCAAGGGTTCCAAAGGAATTGTGAATGAAAATATTGGCTAATTTGATTAGTTAATGTTTTACATTTGCCGTATTAATCCACGCGTAATAAAAAAGTCAGTAGACACGAGGGAGCGTTTTCAAGTTCGTTCAATTTGCCCCGGGAGCTTGCTCCCAAACCCCTCGTGTGTATAGGCCTTAATGGAAAGAGATGCTAAGCAGCTTTAAATCGAGCCGGTACTCAGTACTTATGTCGTGCTGCCACTTTCATGAATGTACAGTTAAATCCCGCTTTACACACACCCGTTAATACGGACTCCTCATTATAACGGACAGCTTGCTTGGTACCCGGGAGAAGAAACCCCTTACCTTTTCTCTAAATTCAACCCCCTTAATACGGACACCCCGCTAATACGAACACTTTCTATGCTCCCTCAGTGTCCGTCAACGGGGTTTGACTGTAAGATGCAGTAATAACATATAATGTTTAAGCAACATTTATTAGAAAGTATTTATCATTTTGATAAAACGGACGGCATAGGCAACTTATCTATTTTGTGGCTGCTGTCGTTATTACCTTCACAGATGAGCAGTTCGACCCTGGGAAACGCAGAGGCCCGTTTGAAGAACGAAGAACTGTTTGCCGGAACAAGGAAACAGAGTGTCACTGTTCATCAGGTATGGAGCTACTTGGGCAAACTAACACAATAAGAAAAACACCCTGTCCAAACGAAAAAATCTATGGATGCTGCTTCTCAAAGACACAAAATTATGCTTCACTGTAGGTTTACTTTCAGATTGGTCTCTTCATTCGTCATGACAAGTTGTTTATGTGACTACGGTAAATAGCTAAAGCTCTACGATTATCGTCAAAAGTGATAGGAAGGCTTCTACTTTCTACCCTTTGTCCCTCGCCCAATGTTGAACAAAACTTAATTGTTTATGCGCTTAATTGTTGTGTTATAAACCCAACGTTGAATAGGGGGAAAGGGGGGAGGGGACGGGGAAAATTTGGTGGAAGGAAAGCCATCTTTCGTGAGGATTAGAATGAACTGCTTTAAAGCTGAACAACCTTCCCAACTGCTTTTATCGGGGATTGTAGATTCGACAGAGCTACCACGCACGTTCGCAGGAAAGGAAGAAAATACAAACAATTTTCCCGCTCGATTAGGTATTCGCCGAGTCATCTGGACTTTCTCGGGTGAGGGTTTGTTTCCTGTGGCTGTATCTATTTTCCTCAAATCAAATTACTTCTCTGCGTCATTGATGTATTTCGCTACTTCTCCGGGCTAAGATTTATGGTGACTTACAGTTTTAAATTTTAGCAGGGAACTTGATCTTGCTCTTCATCATGACTTAAGTATGGTGTGGCATAGGAAAAGAAGACTGGAAGACAGTCGAGTTTTGTAAGAGGACAGGGTTTTCTAAGTCAGCTCTTTATGAGTTATACGAACAAAAAATTGATACTGATGACGATGAAGAATGTACAATACTCATTATTGTATTTTCCACATTAACTTATGTAAAGGATAAATTTGCTTTTGGCTGAAATATGTCGTAAAAATAGCACAGTGAGGAGTACATCTGGGGAAAAGATGGTAAATAGCATATTCGCATACGAATCTACACTGGGTGGTATGTAAGGGACAAATGTGGCATTTGCCATCTTTTCCTCAGATTTACCCTTTCGTTTTCACATTTTTGCGACATATTTGCCAGAAGCAAATTTGTGCAAATGTGTTTCTTTTCGCCCAGTTGGATGAGTTGGCAGAAAACACTGGGGACGAATGTGACTACGACTGCGAATCGTTCATTCCATTTGATCTCATGTCATTTGCCCGGCAGGTTGCCCGTGGAATGGTAAGGAATGTTCTGTCGTTGGTTCGGTAAAGGCAAGTCGAAACTGAATGAGAAAGAGTTGCAAAGACCTCGGAAACTACTTTGAAAACCCGCTGATAGCAAGTTCATGAACAGAAAAAGTTGGTCTTAAAAACAAAGTTTCTCCTTGTGTCTCTAAACTCTCTTCTTGGTATCTGGCACGGTTAAAAACTGTATATTAACATTATTCTGTTTATAAATTGTTTGAACATGCAACTTACTAAAACAGTCTGAGTGTTTATTCAAAAACAGCGAACCGGGTTCGTATCAACATCATTCTCGATTTTATAGAACATTTTAACCCTATTCAGACCGTTTTAATTCTTTTGTTGTTTCCTGCTCGAAAATCGCTCATGGTACGGCCACCAAAATTGCAAATAATAACGTATACATCGCCTAAACGATTGACATAATGACATAATCTCACGTCATTGTGATGTCATATTGTTGAATTTATTGGCGGAATCCAAATTTCATCAATTTTCTCCTCTCAAGGTAGACATAAAGAAAAAATACTTAAATATGTGTCTGATAAAATCAAGATATCAACTAACACATGATCTTATTATGACGTTATTTATTATTAAAGAAAGAACTTGAACCATCTGCCATCTTGGAACCCGCCATTTTGAATAAATCAAATGTATATCAATTTACCTAAAACTAATATAAATGAAAGTAATTGTGATAGACTGTAGAATGCAAAAAATCTGCAAGTTATGAAATTCTTTAAAGGAAATAAACACCAGTACTGTTGAAAATTGAACTCATCGTCTACCATTTGCTCATTCTGAATTTTTCTCAAATTTGCAACTAAAAAGCCTAGACTACATAAACAGTTTTAACCAAGTAAACTAGAAAAGAAAAACCTTTTTTCATAGAAAATACAAAGAAATACAAAGGCTGTCAAAATTCGGATGCCATGGCGACGTCAATGTTGACATATACACCACGACGACTTGGAAATGTTCCTAGAAAAGATTTTGAACGGTTTTACCCTGTTTATGTTTTTACCAAAGTAAAAATGACATGCTAACAAATGCAGGTTGTTGACGCAAGAAGGAACTTCATAGGAAACTGAATTTAGGAATCACTGGGAAGACCATAGCCTACCCCTGGCTTCCCCACAAAATGACACCTGAGAAACGAGTGCAGAAATTCCCAGATCTTGGTAGTGCCTCTGATTGGTCGTACCGAGTGGGAAATTTGCTTCAACCAATCAGATCTGGGAAGTGACGCGTCATCAGTATGGAATTTCTGCGCTCGTTTCTCAGACGTTATTTCGCGGGGAAAGCGATGGTGGCTTCGCCAATTTCTCAGGCCAGGAAGACCGTATCAAGGCACGTCTTAATCACTGTATTCAAGGCAGTAATGCCGCCTTTAAATGGACTTAAAGTCTGAAAATGACGGTTTGATATTGTATACAAGAATTTAAGTAGTTTTGGCTTAAGTGGTAGTGACAAAACAAACCTCAGAGGTTCTCGTTTGCAAGAAATCCTTAGTCCCGAAATCATTATCTTAAGAAATTTCAGCTGGCGGATAAAGCCCAGTAAATTATACATGGGCATTTTAACTACGGTAGATTAAACTGGCATCGGATTATCCTTTAAATTAATTATTTGCAATTTTCAGAGCTACCTGGCAGAAAAAGGCCTTGTTCACAGAGATCTAGCCGCGCGAAACATCCTTGTGGCACACGGTAAAAAGCTTAAGATTGCTGACTTTGGCTTGATGCGGGAATTACATCGTGGGATGTACGAAGTGAAAAGGCAAAAGAGACTGCCGATCAAATGGATGGCCCCAGAATCACTGTATGAACAAATTTTCAGTTGCAAGAGTGATGTGTAAGTAAAAAGTATAACATAGTCTACACACTACAGAGCAGAGATTAGATCGGTAAGATCAAGACCAACCCTAGTGAAAAACCAAACCTGCCGTTTTCAGTTCTTCCACTTTTTTCATTGTTTTCACGCTTTTCTTTATATTTTGAAAGTAAACGGATAACTGAGTATGGTACGAAAAAAGCCAAAATACTGCACTGGTATCAAGTGTGAAGCTGGCTTTCAACCTTAAGTAGGCAAGACCCCATTTAGACGGGTCCGGACAAATTTTTGATCACACAGTTCTATCTAGGATTTTTCGTTTGGGGGAGAAGTCCCGAGTGGCCTAAGGACACGAGCTCAGTCCTAGGGGGATCTGGGGGCATGCCCCCAGAAATTTTTTCAGATGAATATGCGCTGAGATGCAATCTGGTGCATTTTGAGACACAATTGTGTCCTTAGACAGGGATTACTTACTTCATTTGCACTGACCCCGTCGCGTCTGGATGATTCTCCGATATAGTTACTTCTATACTGTAATAATAACAATATTTTTGGGGGGAAGCTGGACATTTTGGGGAGAAAGCTTCTACCCCTCAAATACCCTAGATAGAACCCTGGAACGGACAAACTCTTGTACGAGTCCGCCTCTCCTTTACACGGAACCGGCCAGGACCGGCGGATACGCGCACGTTTTTGAACAGAAAAGAGTACTAAGATTTGTGGTTTGTATAAACGGGTTACACAGGTAAAAATTCGTCCGTTCAAAACTTTGTCCGAAGCCCTGTAGTGAGATATGTCCAGAAATGCACGCATTGGCGAAAACGGCAGAAATGGCGATTAATCGCCAAAATCGACAAACTGTGAACAAAATTTCAAATGAGATGGCAAAGGGGCCCTTTGGAGAGTGGCAATTTTGGCGAGAATGGCGTTTTGGCAAAAATGGCAGAAATGGTGGCAATCGCCAAAATCGCCAAACTGTAAACAAAAATTCAAATGAGTTAGCAAAGTGGCCCTTTGGAAAGTGGCGATTTTGGCAAAAATGGCAGAAATGGCGATTAAACGCCAAAATCGCCAAATTGTAAACAAAAATTCAAATGAGATGGCAAAGGGCCCAAAAAGTGGCGATTTTGGTGAAAATTCGTTACAAAAGGGCCAGTGTTCGTTAAGCCAACCAAACCAAATTTCATGACCCACAGCTAGTCCACTAATTACTCGAGGAGAGACCCACCAAGTCCTTGAAATGATACTGACTAATTCCTTACCATGGACACTCTAACTTTTGAGGTTCGATGTAGACCTAAACAATCGACTGCTAAACGCGAGGAACCGTGCGTTTCGCAGCCGGTTTTGATTTAAGCTGCCTCACAAGTTAATGGAACCGATGTTAAGAGAATTGACACCAATGAGGATTCAGGGGCACCCAACAGCAATTTTCGGGAAAATATCTGTTCGGAAGACGATTTGAGAACTAGAATTTTCGGAACATTTGTTGTAAAATTTCTTGCTTGCCTGCCTCTCCTAGGATTTTCGAACATCTACAAAATGGTATAATTACCAATTTTAAACGGATATTTACCCTAAAAAAGGCCACCTAGAATTTTCGGGAGCCTTTTCCTGGCTGAAATTTTCGAAAAGGTGAGTTTTGATCCCTATAATTTTCGGATCACTAGACTTTCAGCTAGGAAATCCGAACAGATGAAAAGTTTTTAGGGGATAAAAATATGCCTATATCTACCGTTTAAATACTAAAATGCGTTCAACAATGCTATGTTAAGTGGTTTTGAACTATAACCTCGTTGGGTGCCCCTGAGGATTGTTTAGGTCTACATCGAACCTCAAAAGTTAGAGTGTCCATAGTAAGGAATTATTATCATTTCAAGGACTTGGTGATTGTCTCCTCGAGTAATTGGTGGATTAGCTGTGGGTCATGAAATTTGGTTTGGTTGGCTTGAACGAATACTCTCTCCCTTTTTTAAGGCTTTGAAAAGAATAAACCATAAAAAAGCAAATGATGCTAGTGTGATATTTCAGCGCATCACATTACTTTTGGTAAGTCAAGCGACATCGAAAGTAAGAAAATGTTTACTTAACCTGTGAAGTACATGGCACAAATACATAAGCTTAAGTGAAACGACTTCCATTCGTTGTTTTCAGATATATTTGATTCAGTTGTATTTGATAAATATTACTTCACAGTTAAATAAAGCCGTTTTGTGATATATCTGATTCAGTTGTATTTGATAAATGTTGCCTCACAGCTTTTGGGGCCTCTTATTAGGCATGTAATTTGAACTTTTTTTTAGTAATGTTGCCTCACAGTTATAGGGACGTCTGTAGTTATCTAATTTGAAGGGGCAACTTTTGGCATCCAATTTGAATATTTGCCACATTCTGGATATCGCCAACCCCTTGGCGATTTTCGCCAAAATCGCCGGTCTCCTAGGGGTCGGGACGTTTATCGCCATTATCGCCAGCCCTCTGGCGATTTTCGCCAAAACCACTAATTTTGCCAAAATCGCCAGTCTCCAAGGGGCCTCTTTTGGCATCCAATTCAAATCGCCAGCGGCTGGCAATTTTTCGCCACTTTTGCCATTTTCGCCATTGCATGCATTTCTGGACATAAGTGAAACAAACGGACAAATATACTAGACAAATAAAACAAGAATTTCTCTAACCAGACAATGATCAGTTGTGGATTCACACTCCCCCCCCCCCCCGATTTATCCAACAGTGGTTTTCAGTGGTGCTTTGTAAATTCATTTTCTTTTCTGCAGAGGGTTTCGTGTCTTTTTGTTTTTCTTTGTCTCTAAGATAGTCTAAAATTGAATAACTTTATGAAGAGTTACAAAATCCATGCACACGGATAAATCACTATCCACTGGATAGCGCAATTGGTTTCCCTAACACTTATCCGTTGGAAAGTGATTTATCCGGTGGATAGCGTTTAATCCAACTTTTGAACAACTGGGGCCAGATGTTAACGTGCAGGATCTTGACATCCATGTTAGTGCGCTCATATGTTTTGTGATTCTTGCGTTAAGTTGCTGTTGTTGTTTTTTCTTTTCGTTTTGATAAAATATAGTTTGAAAACAAAACTGATGAATTCGCTTATTAAATGCTAAATATCAAAAACTTGAGATAACCATTATATTACTTTTTTTTTTTCACAGTTGGTCGTTTGGAGTTGTCATGTGGGAAATAGCAACCCTTGGTAATGTAACAAAATGACAGGTTCTTTTTAGCAAATCGATACACCCACTAAGAAAAAAAGTCGAGAGAGGATGGAGCCCCCTTGAATGCTTTGCTACGTTTACCATGTTTTGCTACTGATTAAGAGTTTAAAAAGTAGTCCATCTTGGGTTCCTCAAGATATTATAAAAAGCATTGGCTATAGAGATCCTGGCAAATCGTACGTTATTCAAATTGACCACCATCTTACATTGTACTGATAACTTCGATTTATGCAAATAGTTTAGAGACCAGATTACAACGTAGTAGGGGGCTCCTGAATCCCGAGTGCACTTTAGAAACTAAAGTACTCGAATTCTGTTATTAGTCTCGCTTGCCTTAGCAAGCCCTTTTTTCATCGTATTTAGTACACAAAAAGGCGTTTGTGTTCCCAGGTGTTCCTACTGCAGACCGTGGAAACTGGGACTAAGAATCATTGGTTGACCGAAGCCACGCATGTTTTGCGACAAAAAATTAAGAAAGATTAAATTTAGAGCTTTTCTACAAGAGGACGGCCCATGAATTCTACCGCTTAAAAGCGTTAATTACTTTGGAACAAGTGAACACTACAGTGGTCGGAAAAAAAGAACAATCTTTTTAAAATTAGCAAAACCGGGATGGTTGAGTGTTGTACACTTTCATTGTATGCAAATGGGTCTTGTGATGAGCATGCGGTTTATTCAATTTTCGGCGATGATTGAAATGATGTGCCGTGTAAATCACTTTTGTGATCTCTGGCAATGATGTAATTTTTCTGGAATCGAGGCTGTTGAATTTTCGTTTATTTATACACGCGTATAGCCTGCGACCGCATACGTATTTCCGGTCGTCACTAACACGCGTTCTTTAGCGAGTGAATCCTGTTTCGTGAAGAATTAATCACCTCCTCATTTCTCGATCTCATCTTCAAGCAGGCGAGACTTAACGCCGGTGTAAGAGCGTTCTTTTTGAAAAAATTTTCATAGTCTATAGAGTTTATACTTTTCTCTTTTTTCCTCTTTTAACCTAAATTAAACTGTAATTTAATCAAAGGGCAAGTAATTAGTTTAACTATATCCTGCCCTCTCCATGTATTCTTGTAACCTGATATTTAATTCTACAAATAGCATCTTCATCTTCAAATCTTGTAATACAATATAAATGGCTTGTAGAATAAATAAAGGAAACAGTGTTTCTGGCACATTTTCATTACTTTTCTTTGTTTCGAAAAAACTTCTAGTCTTAATCGGGTACAAAATTATGAAGAGTTCATCAATGCGTAATGACTGTTCCGGGAACAATCAATTTTTGGTCTATACTTTATAGGTGGTTCGCCGTATCCGCTATTAAATAATATCGATGTCATGAGACGTCTAAAGACAGAATACCGCATGGAAAAGCCCGACTTGTGTCCTGATGACCTGTAAGTTTTTTTTAAAAAAATGTTGACTAGCGACGGAAAAAAGGATTTTTTTCCCTTTATCTTTCTTGTTGGTAGTTCACTGACAACTCCATTATAACAAATAGATTATACGTAGACTGGACTATATAATGATTTAGTAAAATCCAACTAAAGGTCTATTATCAATGCTGCGTTCTGATTGGTTGAGCTACTACTGGGCTATATGTTATAGCCCACCAGTAGCGAAAAGCGTTGGCTTTGAAAACCAAAACAATGGCGGCTGAATTGCGTTTTGCTAGCTAATTATTTTTTATTCTCGATATTTTTGACCAACTAGTTGGATTTTGCTAAAACAATTATTCCTCTTGCCTTCATGGCCTCTGAGTCAATAGACCATTCGGCCTTCGGCCTCATAGGCTATTGACTCAGAGCCTATTCGGGCTCTAGGAATAACTTTTAAATATTTTTTCGAGATCGTAAATAGAAGTCTCGTGACAATGAAGTCGATTGGGAGTACCTCCAGGCTGCAGTGCGCGCAGTGTGCGACGCTTCACAAAAAAATTATTACAGCAACTCTTAGACAACTTGGATTTCTCAGTAATTAGGGTATAACATAAGCGTCGACTGAAGACTGGATGTTTAATACATAAAAAAAGTTTGCTACTTCTTGGATGTTTCCGAAAGGCTTTTTAACTCTCATTATTCACAATTATCCCCCACACATGCTCCACGGTTGAACTTGCGTGATTTGAAAAAATGAAAATATACATATATGGGTTAAACGTAAAGCATGAGCTCGTGGGTTGGTGTATGTGTGCCCCTTGCTTTGATTTACTGGTAATTCGTGATCCACCTTCCCCTCGCATGTCGTGGTGGAACTGCTGTGCGGTTCCCAGCCAACAGCTCCCACTTGTGTCGTGTAGAGCTGGCGCTTGATAGACTGCTTTGCACTCACCTCCTCAGTAAGGAGTTTTGAGGTTAAAGGTTAAAAAGGTTAAAGGCATGTTTATAGTGGAAGGTGCACTTAGCTAGGCAGCTAATTTACAGGCACTCCACTCAAATATTTAGAACCAAATAATTCAAATACAACATAACAGGATTAAAAACCCCAACTGGCAGAAGGCAACCAGTTGGCTATTTACAAGCGTGGCCGAGAATTTGAACTCGGGACGACCGAGCACAAATCCAGCAAGTGGCCAGAGCGGGACTCGAACCCGGGACCGCCGGATTGCGAGTCCGACGCGCTGACCACTCGGCCACGCTGCCTCCCTAAAACCCATATTTGACCCGGAGAGACAGACAAGTAGTAAAGCCCAACAGGCTTGACCTTTAGGCTTTAGGGCAGTTCAAGGACTGTGAGAGACATTTTTTTATAAAGGAACGGTGACAATTACATTTTTTATTATCATTATTGCTAGTTATAGCTATCGCTAAGTGCCAACAAGCAAAGATTTCAGGGGCAGTGGCAACCCCAGACAGCTTTTTCGCCCGTATTGGGTCCCACCTGCGTGGCACGGCGCGAGACACGGGTTTTCGCCGTTCACTAACCCAACGGCTGTGCCACGCAGGTGGGACCCAATACGGGTGAAAAAGCTGTCTGGGGTTGCCACTGCCCCTGAAATCTTTGCTTGTTGGCACTTAGCGATAGCTATAACTAGCAATAATGATAATAAAAAATGTAATTGTCACCGTTCCTTTATAAAAAAATGTCTCTCACAGTCCTTGAACTGCCCTAAAGCCTAAAGGTCAAGCCTGTTGGGCTTTACTGCTTGTCTGTCTCTCCGGGTCAAATATGGGGTTCCACTGCTCTCTTTGGGAAGCTGGGAGTGCTATTCTTGTGATGGTGGATCTGGCAGCACTGCAGGAGGTGCAGCTTGATTAGACTTGGCAACCGTCAGGTTTGCTCTGTTCTCTAATGACAGTTCAGGATTTATCTCTTGTTCCGGGGCGGGGCAAACTCGTAGATGCTGTCTGTTACGGCGGTAGTTTCTTCCGTCTTCAGTTTGCACTACATAAGATCTTGGGGTTTGGTGATGTCTTAAAAACTGTTGCTGCTCTCCATAGTTTGCTATCCGTCTCAGGCTGCATTCTCACGTTAGTACCCTGTTTAAGTTCCTACATACTCTTGCTGGCATAGCGGTTATCGTTCTTTTTCTTTTGTTCTTTAGTCTTCTTCAGGTGTTTGGAGATTTCATTCTGATTGTTGCTGGTTGGAGTAAGCAAACTTTCCATCATAGGCAGCTCATTTTTCAGTCGGCGTCCCATAAGTAGTTGCGCTGGTGACAGCCCGATGCCTGGCAATGGTGTTGTTCGATAATCCAGCAGGGCTAGGTACTTTTCATCATTATTTCGGTACAGGTTCCTTACTGTTTGAATCGTTCTTTCAGCTTCGACATTGGCTTCTGGATAATGCGGTAAGCTGGTTGTGCGCTTGAACCCCTAATCCTTTACGAACTCTTTAAATTCACTGTTAGTGAACTGGGGGCCATCATCTTAGACTGCTTCAGGTGGGATACCATGGACTCCAAACTGCCTCTTCAGCTCTTCTACCACAGCGCCACTTCTTAAGGATTTCAGCTTAGTGACTTCCGGGAACTTGTTACAGTAGCACCCAGAGAGTAAATAATGTTCTCCGCGAAATTCAAACAAATCTGTTCCGATCTTCTTCCACGGAAGTGATGGTGGAATAGTAGGTTTGAGAGGCTCTCAGGGCTGCTTGTTAGCGTAGTGTTCGCACACACCATAATTGGTCACCATCTGCTCAATGTCCACTGACCGACATTCCAGGCCAAAATAGCATATCCCGGCCTCTCTGTCTGCACTTGACTTTCCCAGATGCCTCTTGTGAATCTGACGAAACATTTCAGCTCTCATGCTTTTTGGGACTATCAGGCGAGTCTCTTTGAAGAGAAGTCCATCTACTGTTGCAACTTTATCTCGAAATGACCAGTGGGGTCTTGCTTCGGTAGGAACTTGCTGCTTAGTATCTGGTCACCTATTCGTCACCATGGTACCAACTGCCTGCAACTCAGCTTTGAATTCTTCATATCGCTCCTCCGAGACAGAGAGGACCAGGTTTATTTATTGAAAGGCCTCCTATCCTTCCTTCTCAGCACTTGGTACAGCTGCTCTGCTTAGGGTGTCTGCTACAATTTGTTTATTCCAAGGAATGTATCGGACTTCGACGTCATAGCCACGCAGATTGAGGATCATCTTCTGAAGTCTCAATGGAACTTGTGACAATGGTTTTGTGCTTTTGCCTGCAAGAATTGTGGTCTGTTTCAACAGCTGTACTTCTGCCATATATGTACTGGTGGAACTTGCGACAAGCAAGCACAACGGCTAGCATCTCGGCTTCGATGGGAAGCATAACATACAGGCTTGCTGTCTTGCAAGAGCACAGCTCCAAGCCCCTTGACACTTGCATCGCACTGAATTACTACCGGTTTGGTTTGGTTTTACTGAAGCATAGGTGCTTGCGATACGAGTTGCTTAATCTTCATGAAGCTGTCTTTCTGCGGAAGGTCCCAATGAAACAACACATTTGACTTACCTAGTTCTTGCGGTGGAGCGACTTCACTTCACAGGCTTGGCAGGTACGGGGTCAAGAACTGCACAAATCCAAGGACTCGTTTTGCATCTCCTTTGCTCTCTGGTTCCGGCATCTCTTGAATTGCTTTTACCTCGTGGGGGTCAATCTTAAGGCCATCAGCTGTCAGGAGATGTCCCAGGTATGGAACTTGTGTCTGACGGATCTTGCATTTCTCTATGTTAAGCTTTAAGCCTTGCTTTGATGCTCTGTAGACCTTTGCTGACATAACATTGGGTTTCGCACCACTATCCAGCTGAAATCGTACCTGAGAATCTTTTATTTCGGCGGTTACATAGAACTCCTCATCTTCCTTCACATGCTTGATTTCAATGAGTACACAAAGAGGGTAATTCTTACTCACTTTCTTCTTCTTCTGGATCAGAGTCCTCTACTTCTTCAAGATTGTGGAATTCTTTTGATCTGCAGGACTTTGTATCTTCTTACAGAGTCCGCACTTTTGTCCCATTGCTGGTCATTTCTTATGGGTCTTATCATAACCACATCTACCACATTTATCTTTGGTCTTGCTAGTCTCAGGTTTCTTCTCTTTACTTTTAATTCGTGGACGCATTTGTTTTGCATGTTTCTTCTTTTCTATGGCATTCACAGTTGGCTTCACCCTTCGATAGCTTTTTCAGGCTGTTTAAATTCATTTCGTGGTTTCGACTAATTTCAACTGCTTTTTCAAGCGTCAATTCTTAGGCCAAATCGAGATACTTTTCCCGAACTTTTGTGGACTTACGGCGGAAAAAGATCGCATCACGAACCATACGCTCCTCTTCTTGATAGTCACAATCTTTGACGAAAATGTTCAGATCTGTCGCAAAGGATTCAAAACTCTCGCTCTCTCCTTGGTGTCTTTCATTGAATTCCAAGGCAGCCATAATGTGCCTTTTTTTCTAAGCGCGCAATACTCTTCAAACTTTTGCAGCACTACCTTCAGTTTCAAATCGTCTTCGGGCTTTGCGAATGCGAATCCTTCGAATAAATCTAATCCTTTGTCACCTACCCACAACTTTAAGTAGCTTACTTTCACGCCGTCTTCTTTTTCGTGCAGGGGACCATCGAAGATACAAGAGGCTTGTTGGCAAAAACGAGCCATTCTTGGTTTAAGTCTTGTCATCTCTGGACTCTTGTATTTCGCTATTGTCGTCGAATTTCCGCGCATTACACACGAAAACATAATTGATGGGAATACTCCGTCCTTTTTCGGGGAAATGTCAGCTCGATGGCTGAATTGGGCGAGGATTTTCTAGTTCTCTCTGACACCATGTAAGATAATAAACTAGTCAAGATGGCCGACAGTGAAAGCATGTGTATTCCCAAAGTCAGTCACGTGACATATAACAAATGACTTGCTTGGGAGGGGAAAGTCTTTCACACAATACATTTATAATATCATATAATCCATGTAATATAACAGATTTCGATTAAGTTCAATCTGTTTAGGTATCCGTCTTTAAAACGGTTAAAAAATGTTAGGCGTGTCAGCAAAAATTACCTGTCAGATAGAAAGGACACCTAAAGTTGTTTTTCTTTAATGATCTTGTTTAAACGCCGACCACTTACTTAGTGGTGGTCCAGTTCAACGATGTCCGTGCTGAAGGAAGAGTTGTATAGATAAGTAGCTGTTCCGATAGCTGTATAGCTATTTAAAGTCTTTTACCCTATTATAATTTAGATATGGATCGATTTGTCTTTTAATTTGCCGAGAAATGAGATTATTCTATACGTAATTATGACGAACTAAAAAGGCGAGGAAGCTAATGAGGAATATCTGAGGCTTTATAATACAGCTAAGCTTCCCCAACTAATGATAATTTGTAATTTAACGTATAAACTTAAAAAAAAGTTTATGATGTGAAAGCCTCATGGATTCTTTAGGGATATCAAAAGACAGCATCGACGATTAAAACTAGACTGATTTTGTCCCTATACTTTCTAGTTATTCCTTGATGAAAGACTGCTGGAAACAGAAACCTTATGAGCGACCGAGTTTTCCAGAATTGGTGGAAAGATTAGAACAACTGATGCTTCAGGAGGTGGAATATTTAGATTTTAACTTGTTGGACGAGACTAAAGATTACTATCAGGTGACAGAGTCAAATATGGGGGAAATTGACGACGAGGAGATGTCTATTGCATAGTACTCCCCCAAACATGAATACATGAAATAGATCAGTTGGTCAGTGTACATGTAATGGTAATGATAATGGTAATGATAATGATAATGACAGTGATAATGATGATGATAATAGTATAGTAGTATAGTATATCTTACCATAAAGGTTTTCATAACTACTACAAATTATTTAAAATATGAACAGAAACAACAAAATTATACGGCATATACGAATTCGATAATAATTATACTATAATTTAATTAACTAATCAATTGGATTTTTGACTCAGGATCTGTTTTCGTTTTTGAAACTTTAGATGGGCATATTTGGCTAGTAACCTAACTTATAACACCTGGCAAAGAGCTTATGAATTCTACGTAAATATTTACTATAAAAAGCGCACCCCCAGACCTCAATAGCGTATGTGAAGACTGAAAGGATCAAACTTTGAAAAAGTAAGTCCAAATTCTCACTAGAGTAGCCGTAATATTTACATATTCTTATAATATACAACCTACTGCTAGCCTTACTAAGTAAATAATCAATATGAGTGTCCCAATTAACTGGCACTTGCTCAAAGGTAACGCCCAACAATTTCAGTTTCTCTTTCCTCCCTATGATCTCGAGTGGTTCAGGGGGCGTCCTGGTAGTCTTCCCTCGCAATAGCACTTCCCATGTTTTTGTCAAATTAACTTTCATGCAATTGTTCTCGGACCATTTAACAAAGGATAGGACTTCCGTTTCAGACTCATCTAAACCTACATTTGCCTCAATCGGCAAGCTAACAGTTATGTCGTCTGCAAATTTAACTAGAAGATTCTTATTAGTATTAACAGGTTTGATATCGTTAATAAAAATAGAAAAGAGGACCGGCCCCAGGACTGTACCTTGAGCAACACCCCTATTTATCGAAACGTAGTTAGTACGGTAACCATCGACCACAACTCTCTGCTTTCTCTGATCTAAAAAGCTAATAAGCCAATTAATAATATACGGATTAATGTTAACTTGCTTCAATTAACTACACAGGATATTGTCTGATACAGGGTCGAAGGCCTTACTAAAATTAAAGTCAAAGGAAAAATTCTGACAAAATCGGCATTACCATCAAGCCACTTTAACCATGTATGTTGGCTATAATTAATGCAATAGTAGAGTTATGGCCTTCACGATAGGCAAACTGATCTAAATCGATATAATCGTTGCAAATACTGGAAAGTTCAAAGGAGTGTTCAAACCTATAGCGCTCTATCATGAACTGTTAAATTGATGAAGTTTGCATGCTTTTTAGAAATACGAAAATACAGTTTCTGTCTAAGACTATCGTATTCAGTACAATCAATTATGAAGTGTTTCTCGTCTTCCATGCACTTTCTTTTGCAAACTAAACAAAGCCTTTCCTCTACTGGTATAGAAGCTCCTTTATTTCCCTGTTTGTATACGTAAAGCTGGATTTCTAACTATCTTTAGGTATTCTCCTCATCAATAATCTTTTTTAATTTGCTTGTTTGTATATTTTTGTCTAGAGTTATCCGAAATGTCGTTTTGAGCTTATAACCAATCTTGAGAACCTTTTTTTGCAACTGTTGTTGAGAGAGGGGCCTGGGTAGCAATGGCGTAAGACGTGTCCTTGATCCGTCCGCCACATATTCTTTTTTTCCCGGGTGGTAAATGGAAGAACTGTTGAAAAAGATCTTGGAACGGAAAAGAAGCGAGCGTTCCTCTTCAGGGGGGTCGAGCACTTCACCAGAAGCAAAAAAAGCGTGATGAAGTAAACTCTCCTGAAGAAGGTAAACCTCTCGAGATACCAAGATAGGTGAGAATGCTTCTTCATCATGTCATTACTCATTAGGTAACCAAGATCACGTTAGTATCGTTTGACCACATTTGCCACCCGTTATTATCAATTGCTAGATAATTATTTAGGCGATCGGAATAGAGGTTCGTAACTGATGGCGCTTCGGTTTTTCTTATCTGTCTGTAAGATTCTAGGTAAAAGTTCCAGCTTCCCCCCCCCTTGTCCCTTTACGAAGAGGTTTCTTATTTAGTTGTGTTTATCTGTGCATGTTCTGTTTGGTTTCTATGTTTTAATAGCTTAATAATTTGTTTTAGAAGTAAACGCCTAGTACAAATTCCTATCATACCGTGCAGCGATTGTGGAGCTTTGACACCAGGTGATGTAAGGCTTCCTCTGCAAAGCTGCCCAAGAGAATATCTATGGCTAAAAGACTGCAACGGAAATGATGTAGAGGCGATTAATTGGCGGGAAGCCTACCAGTTGGCCGCTAAATATACTAAAAGTACAAGAATTATTGAATTCCAATATAAATTTTTACATAGACGAATATCAACGAACGACTTCTTAACAAAAATTGGCGTAAAAGACAACCCAAATTGTTCTTTTTGTAATAATGAACCGGAGAAACTTCTTCATCTTTTTTGGTCTTGTCCTAAAGTGGCCTTTTTCTGGCATAGTTTATCTCTTAAGCTGACTTTGCTCCACATTACACCGGAACATTACACATTAGATATATTTGTTGTACTTGGTCTAAAGCCGGATTCTTCAAAAAACTGCCAGCAAATTAATTTCCTTTTCCTTCTAGCCAGAAATTACATCTGGATTAGCAAAAGAAGGGAAACCTCGCCAAAGATAGCAGGCTTCCTGCAATACCTCAAATCATTCTACCACATAGAGACCACTGCAGGTCCCATTTTACCAAAAAAATGGGAAAATGTGAGCTCCTTATTTCAGTAAGCCTTTGATTTTGTATACATTTGTATATCTCGATCCTCTGCTCATTTTCTCCAGCATTAACCTGGTGTATCTTTTGCTTCACAATCGCTGCCTCTTTAAGACACTTAAGATATAAGTGCGTTTACCGTGATAAGATATAAGTGCGTTTACCGTGAATGTTGGTTTTGAAGTACAATTACTAATTAGAACTGCTTGTAAATAGTGCATTGTAGTGTGAGTAGTGAGTAGGTAGTGTTGTAAGTACTGAGTATTGTAAGTCTTTACATTGTAAACAGAGTAAGTACCTTAGTCTATTGTATTCTAAATATTGTATTGTAAGTAGTGTAAGTATCGTAGTGTTTGTAAGTATTTTTGATTGTTGATTGTTGATTGAATAAATGTTATTAAAAAAAAAACTGTTGTTTAATGCTAGAACGAGTATTCTTAACACATTGCTGATTTTTTATTACCTCGTTTTTGCAGTGCATTTAATAATAATAATAATAATAATACACTTTATTTAAAGAGGATAGCACGGAAAAGTTACAGAAACTAGTGAACTAGTTAACTAGTAAATTTGTATTGTTTCGTCACTATTTAATAAACCATAAAACTGACTGTGATTTCTTGCGTAAATAAAAGCTTCATTTAAGAGAGGGTTGTCTGATTTTTGTTCTAATTGCCAGTAACATAAAAGCGAAACCTTTATCTCTATAGAGGGTATCGGCCGAGTTCTGCTCTACAGGCTTTGTTTTCTGCGTACCATGGGACATTTAATGTTTGTTTAGAGAATTTAATGTGAACTTGCTTAATTGCACTTTTATCAAAATGTGTCTTATAAATAGTAGTTCTGGTCGCCATATTTCACAACCATAAAGTAGTTCAGGTTTAAAAAGGGCATCGAAAAGTTCTTTCCTTGTCTCGACCGCTGAAGAATCAATGTTTGAGAGTAGTCGTTTAATTGTGAAGACAATTTTGGTAGCCTTTTTACTAAGAATTGCCATTGCATAGGCGCAACGACCAGATGATGTCATTTCTATTCCTAAGTATGTTTGTTTGTTAACAATTTCTATAGTTTCATTTGCGTATTTGAAATTTGTTTTGTTTTTGTTTTGTCCATTACCACTAAATATGATGATATTAGTTTTATTATTAGATGATAATGATAATGATAATGATAATGATAATGACAATGACAATGACAATCACAATATTAATGATAACGACAATGACGATAATCGTTTCCCAAAAATTCACTTCCCTTTTTTGAAGTCTTAAAATAATACTAAGTACTGCGAAAATCTTTCCTAAACTATATCTCTTGGTAGTTTTAGGGAGGAGAAAGCTAAAAAGCACATTCTGAGATCTTTTGCTAGAATTGTAATTAAATCTGGACGTTTTTCCGCAAAAGCGTTCCTCGTAAGAGGAACGGCCATTGAAAGGCACGCCTAATCCTAGATACTGTATGAAGAGATGGTTAAGCCGGTGTGATATTGTTTCTCAGGTATATCCGTTATATCCGTTGAATTTATACAATCGTGTAGATCAGATCAATTTAAGAGGGAAATTGAACACAGACTCAAAGTGGAAGTTCCCATGCTAAATGAAAACAGCCAAAGAAATATTAATTTGAACAAGCTTCAAATACTGTTCCCCGCTGTTTCCCTTGTATCCGCCACATTAAAGGAATAGTGAGATATTCCGTCAGATCTTAGTAGTACAAAGATCTAAATTATAATGGAGATAGCTGATACAACGGGGACAGAACTTACGGTATAACAGATCTGCTTCAAGGAATACATAAAATATCTAAAAATCCATTATTTAGAGTGACATCGGATAATATGGGGAAGACCTCTTACCGTTCAGTGACAAGAAAGGCTTCTGTTGTCTTATGTGACATCCCATTCATTTCAGTTATAATGCGTTTTTATTGCAATATTTGAGAACTCCTAAATTGCAGAATATAAATAGCGTGACGGATATGACGGATACTACAGGGATATCTATATCTGTAGAAAATAATAATCCTGCCGAAAGTGTGCCTAAGGTTTTCGCGGATTCTGAGATTGCTTGTTCGCCACATAAGTATTCAGACTTCGTTTAAAAATTACACCTTTGTTCTAACGTGAATACCTCATTTAATCCACTATTTGTGAATCTTCAACAAACCTTCATGAAAAGAATGTGATTACAGCGATCGATTACGTAATTATAAGTTAAAAATAGACCTTTGTCACGTGGCGGCCATTTTGTCTCAAGAGATTTTAAAAAAAGCTTTGTTTATGCCCGGCTAGCCTCGTTCTCTCTACGAGGCTAGCCGGG